CCCCCCCCCTCCCTTCTCCCTTCAATCTCTTTAATTTGTTTATTCGGAGGAAGAATATAGGAATACAATAGTTGGAAGTTGAAAAAAGACTCTGGAGATAAGAGAAGAGGTTTCATCCACAGAGTGCCAAGTGGTTGCAAGTAAAATATGACTATTTTTTAATTTAAACACTAAAAAAATTAAGAATTTATTGTTTAGGATTAAAATACTTCTCAAAGTTTTCGTCTTTAACGCACAAATGAATTATCAAATATTATACAATAATTGAAAAAAGTTGTTATAAGAGTTGTCTGGAACACGAGCCATCGGATAAATAACTTTTTGCAATGAAAATATAACCTCTAACTCTAAGGTTGAGGAGGTAATTGCATGACTTGATGTACATATTTTTATTAAATATTTAACTCATTTAATGGGAATTTTTTTTTTTTTAAACAGGATTTAATGGACTTTTTAATCTAAACTTTCACAATGACTGGGTGCACGTATTTGGGTGGGGGGATGAACGAAGCTTTATTGGAAAAACAATTCATGGTTTAGAGGCAAGTCTGTCGGTTCAATTGAAAAAGAAAAAACATTGTGTTGATCGGATTTGCACCGTAATAATCGACGTTAACGGCAGAAGATACCAACAAAACATCATTACTCTCCGTCGCGGAGCGCTCTATCTTTTTTTCTTTTCTTTTCTTTTCTATTTTGTTTTTTTTTTCTAATTTTTCACCATCGATCTCATCGAACAGAAAACGTCACTCGTTTATTTTTAGCTTCCCAACTGTTTCACAATAATCTCTCTCTCTCTCTCTCAACTCCTGGAAATCGCTGAACAATGAGTGCTTTATCGAATTCCCTAGTTCTACCTAAGAGTTCTTCTTCAAACCATCTATCAACTGGTACTTTTCGATCGCTTACATTTCTTTGATCCATCTGATTACAAATGTTTTTTTCTTCTTCAGGATTGTACAAAAAGATTGCACTTTTTTGCTGGTTCATGTTAATTTATGATAATCTCTTGGTCTTTTCTTCTTCTTTTTGTTATCTGATACTAGATTTTCTTGTCGAACTTGATTTAAACTTTAGCTCGGAAGATATGCTATCTTCTTGACTGTACTAATTCACGGTTTACCCATTTTGCTTTGTTTTTGGTTCTTTTGAGAAATGAAGGGTTGGAAGAACTAAAATATTTTACGAAGAATTTAAGTAATCGCTTTCTGTCCAAGAATCAAATGGATGGTTGAACATCAACCCGAACTTGTCTAACTAACCAATGGGGACACTTGGTTTTTGGTATTAATGTATTAGCATTATATGGGTGTGTTAATCAGTAAGATCTGTGGTGCTCACAGTGTTGGAACAGGTTTTGTAGAGTTCTTCGATGTTTCGCAAGTCCTTTCTCAACCTTACATTGCTACTTATTTTTTGGGTACATAACCTTACATTGCTATTGTTAAGGGTCAAGATTACATTGTACGTGAATGTAATGGATATATTGAAGGAGTGGGAAAAAAGTTCACATATGCATCAACATTTTCAACTGTGGACAAATTATGCAGGCAGTGCCGACTAATTGACAGTTCTTTAGGGACAAACTTGACATTTTGAATGAAGTTCTTATACCCACATACCCAAAAGAAGAAAAAAAAATGGCAGCTGAGTGTACAAAACTCCCAACGCTGTGGGGCATTGGAAGGGTTAAATGTATACACCCTAAAAGAAATACAGAATAAAAATATCTTTAAATATCAATAAATACTTTAGACATTTTCTGGGTATGGAAGATGAAAATCGAGTCATTGTTGTTTGTGGAATCAATAAAATTAGGGACAATTGTGAGTTTCCAATTCGCACATGATCTGTTAATGTATGATGGGGTATCATGAAACAAATCATTGAAGGAGGGCCTGTGAGTAGGATTCCAGGAGACTCTTGGATGCTAGTAGAATTAATAGGATGCCTTGGTCTTGCTTGTTGAAGAAACAAAGATGAGTGAGCATGTCCTTAATATTTTGAGTCCTGTTGCTCCTGGACAGAGTTGCAGCACTGAGAAGTGAGACCCGCCTTCATTGCAAAATGAAATCACGGGGACGCACTTATATGCCCAGAAATCCCAAAGTTATACCAGAAATCCCCAAGTGTTCCTCACCTTCTGGCAAGGTTTCACATTGTCTTTTACAAATGAATTGGTAACTCTTGCACCCCTTGCATTCCATTACTGATTCTTTTCTTGTCAACATAGCATTCGTAGGAGATCGTATATAGTTTATCAGCATATCAGCATTTGGGAACCAGGGGAAACCACTTGACTTAAAGAGATGTGAGGATTTGGGAGAACAACTTCACTGATAATCATATCAACTTCTGTTAATTGTTGTGCATCCATGCCTCTAAAATAGAAAAAGAAAGAAAAGCAAAAGAAAACAAATTAATCAGATATGCTTGAAACATTGTGCACTCTGTACGTATATGAATGCATCATTCTTTTGATCATCATACGCAGTTTGTGATTCTGATGACTTCTTGTTAATGGTTAAATCTAAGATCTTGGCTTTCCTTTGATATCAGTGCACCAATGTATCACAAGTGTGGGTCCCACGAACTTGTCATTCATTCAAAGTGCAGGAAAAGTACGATTTCCCACATCTAGAAGGGCTCTTTCTGTTCAAGCAGGATATAGGTATTATATTTTCCATTTCCATGCATGCGATGATTTCATACAAGCTTGGATTCACAGATTCATAATTTGTATTGGTTTCATGCCATGTGCTGTTTCGGTAAATCACACCTTTCACCCTCGTAGTATGCTGCCTGCCAGATTTGAGTTATCCTGCAGAAGGGCTGTCAAAATTCAACACGACACGATTAACCGACACGAATTAAACGGATTTGGGTGAGATCTTAACGGGTTTGGGTGATAAACGGGTTGACATGCCAAACACGTTTAATAAACGGGTTGTGTTCGGGTGAGACCTGTCAAACCGTTTATCATACGTTTACCCGTTTAAATAAAATTAATATAATAATAAATTAATAATTATTTTAAAAAATTAGCAAGAAAAAAGAAGTAAAGAAATCAATAAAAAAAAAAAGAAGTAAAGTAGTAGTTTAAAGACAAAGGAGAAGAGTTGGAGAGCACTTCAAAGGCAAAGACAAATAAATGTTTTTATTTTTGTCTCACATTGGAAAATGAGGGGAGATGAGGGGTTGAGTTGCCTATAAAAGACAATGACCTCTTGTTTTTATTTTTAAAACCTTCAAGTCTTATTTTTCAAAGACAAAGGAGAGGAGTTGTAGAGCACTTGAAAGACAAAAGCAGATCAATGTCTTTTATTTTTGTCTCACATTGAAAAATGAGGGGAGATGGGGAGGGTGAGTTGCCTATAAAAGGCAATAGCCTCTTCCTTTTTTTTTTTAAAGCCATCAAGTCTTATTTTTATGAGATTTGATTTAAAATTCCTCTTTTTTTAGGTAAGTGCAATTAGTAGTAAAAAAAATGGAGTGTTAAAATTTGTTGATATAATTTTTTTAAAATTAAACGGATTAAACGAGTTGTGTCATGTTACCTGTTTATTAAACAGGATGTGTTCATGTTGAGATTTTTTACCCGTTTATTAAACGTGTCGTGTATGGGTTTATACGTTTTTCACCCGTCACCCATTTAACCCGACACGTAACCGTTTAACCCGACACGATTGACACCCCTAACCTGCAGTATCCATATGAATACCTTGACCCCCGGGCTTTAATTAGCAGTGCAATGTGGACTCCAAACGGGTTCTTTATTGATCCAGATGGCTATGAGTCACATGCACTTGTGGCTATATTTCGTTATGTTCTGTTATTGATTTGGACAGGAGGGGTCATATTGCTCACTTATTAAGCTCCAAAGTTCGCTGTGTTTGAAGTGAAACTACAGTGACTAATGGCTTAAGATCACAATTTAGAAAAGTGTAATCTGCCCTTAATCTTTTCCTACATTGATGCTTTAGCATGAATAGAAGCTCTGATGGACACTATTCTGCTTCTTGTGTTGATACAGTGATGGAGGCAGGCCCGGCAGTACGAGCATCTTTGTCAGTGGCTTTGTTTTGGGAGGATTAGTTGTTGGTACTCTTGGTTGTGTTTATGCACCTCAGGTACCATTTGCAAATAGTGCAGTAAGCATTACACAGGATGCTACCATATACTTCTGCCATCCATGTGCCTATTATTTAGTTTAGTTTTCCAGTAGTCAAGGGCGGAGGGACATAGGGACAGGAGGGGCACATGCCCACCCTGAAAAAAAAAAAAAATTCACCTTTGTATAGTTATGGTTTTTTTATTTGGTAGTTGGAATTAGGCCCACCCTCATGACCAAAAACCAAAAATATTTGACCATCCTAATAATTTTGGACCAACTATTTGTGCAAAAAAATAATCGAACACACTTTTCACTCAAAGAAAGGTGAAAATATGTTAAAAAAGACTAGTGATTGAGCCTGTTTTTTCGAAAACTCTCAATCTTATATTATTTATAATTGTTTGAAATTGCTATAATTTTTTTAAATTGATGCGACTTAGCCTGAAATTGATTACTATTACTTAATTATTTATATAGATAAAAACATTTTTGATAACATTATTAATAGCGTTATCATACAATCCTTTCAAAGTATGAAAAGTTGTCTAGGTCCACAGTACATGGTTGTAATTAACTTCATTTTTTTTGCAAAGGGTTATAATTAGGCTATTTTTATTGAGTATTGCTTGCATAGTCTATGTATATTGACGTTTGATCCTTTTGTATTTAATGAATATTTAAATATGCAATACGATTTTATTTTTTTTAAAAAAAAGGCATGGACCACAATACTTTTATTGATTGGAGAAAAAATGAAATTTTGCTGGTTAAGTGTGCCCACTTTAAAACAAATTTCTGGCTCCGTCCCTACTAGTAGTCCACGAGCTTTTTGATTTGCTATGAAAAATGATACTGAACTTTTGTTCTTTACAGATCAGCAAGGCACTTGCTGGAGCTGACAAGAAGGATTTAATGAGGAAATTGCCCAAATTTATATACGATGAAGAAAAGGCTTTGGAGGTTGGTGGTTCATCTTTACGGTTTTGCACATGATATCTCTTCTCCTCCTCCTCCTCCTCCTCCTCCTCCTCTTTTGCTTAGGTTTTACCCTTCTTTTATGCATTGTATTGATTTTGTTCGTTTCTTGCTGGGCTTCTTCATTTACGTAGATTTGACCATAATATCACATCTCTATGCTTAGATTCCACATAATCCGCATGAGAAGCATCTTTTTAATCTTTGGAAAAACTTCGTGCAGTCACTATGCCACAATGTGCTGAAACACATTAAAAATCCATCCTGCAAATACCGAGGTCACATAATTACAGTTCACCGTAGCCATTCTGACGCAAGGTCATCCCAATGATGTGCCGAAATATGTAAAAATTCATGGAACGATCCCTGTCAAAGGATGATATCCATCATTTGGTAGGTTCTGAAAATTGGAAAAAAAGTGAAATGAACTAGAGAAAGCAGTGGATCAAATAAGGGGCAGTCTGAAATCAGAGTGTTAGAATTTCCCTGTTTTGTCTTAATAGTATTTCAGTATTTGAACCAAAAGAAAATTTTCTTTGGGAGCTAATATACCAACCAACTTGAAAAAGCCTTTGCCTTAACCGCAAAAAGGTCTTTGCCCTAACTACTTGTGGGGAAGGAAAAATGAGTAGTTTACGCCATAGTAGCTACTGTTTCACTGGCTCTCGGATTCACTGCTTTCAAGGAATGGAAAATTATCACACCCCCTTCTCTCTTTCGGATAGTATTCGCTGCCTACACTTTTCCTGCTTCAGTGGCTCATTTTCTATGTTCAATGAAGCACTCCAGAAGTAATTTGAATCAAACCACATTGGTTTCTTGGATCGGAACTCTCATCAAGAACCAACTAAATCTGGTTAAACTGCTTATATGTATCTTCTCCTGTAATGCACTTACATGGTATCCTATTTACAGAGGACACGCAAAATACTGGCTGACAAGATTGAACAGTTGAACTCTGCTATAGATGATGTTTCTACTCAGCTGAGACAAGAAGATACCCCAAATGGAGAGGCTGTGAAGTCAGATGAAATTGAAGCGATCATATAATGTTGTTTAGCCATCATATGAGAGTGCTATTAACAGTTTTGTTATCTTTGGCCTTTTGCTACATGTAATGCCAGATTAAGAAGTAATAGTTGAATTCTTGTCGTCTTCTTTATACTGAATGGATACCATTCAAAAAATGCTTAGTGGTTTTAATTTGATGGAACACTTGGTAAGAGAAAAAAGACAAAGGGGGGTTTCTATGTGAAATGGTTGGAGTTTGCATGAACTAGTGCAATTTATGCTTAACCTGTGCTTGAATGTGAGAGTTGCTCACGAAGTGACTGAACGTTCAGATTTGGCTGCTTAAGAATTGATATTTGTCTTTCTTCGCTTCAATAGATCCTGTCTTCTTTGTAATGATTCATTTTTTCGGCCCAGTACTTGCAGGTAGATCAAAAAGATGTTACACTGTTTGTCTTCTTTTGTTTGTGTCACAATCATTAAAAATGATATAACTGCTGCTGTGGTGATAATGGTTGAGTATTGTATTCCTTCATATGCTTTTCTTTCCTGCCTGTTAATGATGCTCTTAATGTTGTTTGCGAAGGCATTCTTTAGAGTCATGCATTTGCAATTGCTAGGATGTTCATAATATGCATGGCATGGATTTGTGGAATTCCAGATAGAATTTGAGTACTCTTTTGGCTCATTGATCCACTTGTTTTTGCTTAATCCTTCAGTAATTTTCCAGATTTGTAACATTAATTCTTGGTCTATTGCTTTATCATGATTTGAAAACTCATGCGAATGATATATGATACAATGGAATGATTTCTTTTACATGGATCTTGTAAAGCAATCAATAGATTAGGTGTTGTGAAAGCTTTGTAGTTGATTTCGGTATTTCATGGAAAAATGGGTCTCGGATTTGTGCAGAAAACACCCTTTCGTTTGTATTTGCATCCTAAGATGGAAACCAGCGGTTTAATACTACCTTAAAAATAATGGTAATGACCTTTGGGTGTAGGAAATTAGGAGATTTTACAGACCAGCTTTGTTCTTTGATGATATGCTATTTTGTCAAGCGACTTGCTTATAACTTCTGTAATGACAGTACTGATGTGCAGCCTCTTTATATGGCGTGGATACATTTTTCTTTCTGATATCCTTGTTCAATCACCAGACTTCTGATGAAACAGTGGTCCATTTGTTGAGACTTCCATCCAAGAGGATGCTTTTTTTGCGTTGCAACTGGGTGCAGGGGCCATTCCTGATGACCCTATTCAATCTGATGCGTCGGTTTTGTTGGCTGCCGAGTTTTTGTCCAATTTTGTTTTTTTGGTCCAGTTCTTAGTTGTTTCTGTTCTCTCATGTTTTAAGTGTTTTTTCGGAATGTCTCTCTACGTCTTAACTTAGTTCTATGTAGTTGCAATGTTTCACTGTCGGAAAGAGTAGAAAGAGTGACAGAAAAGTTAAGACTCTGTTTTGTTGCATGACATCCGCACCCTAGAATTTTCTTAGGACCACAGTATTTCTTACACCTAGTTCGGTTAAGTGCAATGGTGGCGCACCACTCAGGGTAAGAAAGAAAAATGCTCTATACTGCTTAGGAACTGGGAGTGAAGGACATGGAAGGGAAATGCTCAAAGCAAAGGTTGGTACGAGATTCAGATTCTCACTCTTTAGCACTTGGATTTCGACTTCCGAGCACAGATCGGAGATAACATTATCTAGTCACCATTGCCAGCTTAACAAAACGTCATATTGTTTCTTATTCCGGGGCACTGCTATATTATTGTTTGATTTAACCCCAAACGACACATATTTTCCTTCAAAAATTGTCTGCCATCAACCTTGATTTCCTATATGAGCCAGAAAAATGCCAAGTTAGAATCTGATGGCTTAGACGCATTGATAGTGGAGACTTCTCCCATGCATGAACACCACAAACAATCTGTGGTTCAGATTTTAAAGGTGCAGGCAAAATCATGATCTTATCTTATATCTCATTTATCATTCTCACCACACGTTCCTTTACCCAATTCCAACCATAACCTTATTTATAATTTTGTCCTGTAGACATATAAGTAATATCAACTGAAATAAAAAAAAAAAAAGAACTTGGCTGTATATTTAGCGAGGAAGCTTTTCTCATAGTTTTGGTTGTAGGCTTGTAGCCATGGCCTCCCATGCAGCTCTGGCTTCTTCAAGAATTCCGTCTACCACAAGGCTTCCCTCCAAGACCTCCCACTCTTTCCCCACTCACTGCTCCTCTAAGGTCCTCTACTTTCTCTCCCTTCCTCTTTCTTTGAAAATTATGCACAAATTCTACACTAGCGTGGTTTTATTCCTTTCTAACTGGTTGGGTTCTTAACTGTTGTTTGAGTATCAGAGATTGGAAGTAGCTGAGTTCTCTGGGCTTAGATCCAGTTCATGTGTGACTTCCGCCAAGAATGTTAGGGAGGCATCTTTCTTTGATGTAGTAGCTGCCCAACTAACCACCAAGGTATCTTCTTTTGCCGATTGAATTAACAATCACAATTTTTTTATTATTTTTTTTGGGTTTCTTTTCCACCGATGAATAATTACATAATCTGTCTCAAACATAAACCCAAGTCTCATAAACTTCTGAAGTGTGCTTGATATGTATAAAGCTAAAAGCTTGATGTAATTTAATCTAAGCGGCTGAGAGTGGTTGGACACATTTGTAGAACTGGCCTTTTTTCCATGGTTAAATTCATGTAATGTTAAAGAGTATGATAACATTGTTCTCTAAGTACATTGTTCTCCAAGTATTACTATGGAATCAAAGAAGTAGTCTGAAAGAAATAAATTTCATGTTTTGTGTGTCAACTGGTTATCTAAACTTATATCTGCTGTAAAAGGAAAAATTTACTCCAAAATTTCAAAATCTAAACCATGTTTTATTGGGATATTAGAGGTTTAGAGCTTCAAGTATAAGATCAATATTAACAAAGTGATCGGTGGGCCGTTTCAATTTACATAGATGGAACTTTTCAAAACAGAAATGATTAACCTGATGCCTTTGTTTTCTATACATTGATCTGGATGTAATTTGTTGTTTTCTCCTAAAATTAGACTGCGGGATCAACTCCTATTAAGGGAGAAGCAGTGGCAAAGTTGAAGGTAGCAATCAATGGTTTTGGACGCATTGGCAGAAACTTTCTCCGATGCTGGCATGGCCGCAAGGACTCACCACTGGATGTTGTCGTTGTCAATGACAGTGGAGGCGTAAAGAATGTGAGTAGTTTTATGTTCTTCCCATACCAATGATTTCCAGAGCTTAATTTTGTAATTGATAAGTATTCTTTTACCAAAGTGGGGGCTAATTAATTTGCATAACAAGTACAGGCTTCTCACTTGTTGAAGTATGATTCAATGCTGGGTATTTTCAAGGCAGAAGTGAAAGTAGTTGACAATGAGACCATCAGTGTTGATGGTAAGCCCATCAAGGTTGTCTCTAACAGGGACCCTCTCAAGCTTCCTTGGGCTGAACTCGGCATCGACATTGTTATTGAGGTACACTTCATACACCCAAATATGAAATTCCAAGTTCCCTAGTATTCTGTTCGATTTGTTCCCAGAAAATGAGTGCCGACAATACTTTTTAAGTTCTTAACCACTAGAAAACCAAATTGGCTTAGAGCTACCCATATGGTTATATTGTATGATCTGATGCAAGTCTCCTTATCATGAGAAATTAATTAGGACATACTTGTGCAGTGTTTTTGGGGGTTCTCAGCCTTACTGATATGAGCATGGTGCTGACCAACATGACTCTACCATCTCTTATTCTTTTTTCCCAGATCTTGTATTACTTCTTTAATTAAGTCCTGGAGAATAATGCATCAGAATAGGTTTATTGATGTGTTAAATTCCAAATGTTTAATACTTTTATGTGCAATCCTTTATTACTCTGTCACCTAAATTCATTTGATAGACTCTTCATATTCTTCTCTTTCAGTGTTCACATTTTTTTACTGTTTAACATTAGCATTTCCTCAGTGTCTAGGTTGGGACGTCAGGATTGAATCAGTTGAATTTCAGTAATTTACCCTGAGCCATTGCTGAAATAATAAACCTCTCTTGGCTTATTGAGTTCTAAGACTGTCCTAAACTAATTGATCTCGTGAACTATAGGGAACAGGTGTGTTTGTGGATGGGCCAGGTGCTGGGAAGCACATCCAGGCTGGTGCCAAGAAAGTTATTATCACTGCTCCAGCAAAAGGTGCGGATATTCCAACCTATGTTGTTGGCGTAAACGCACAGGATTACTCCCATGATGTTTCTAACATTGTAAGGTCAGTTTTTTCAAAGAATCATCCACAAACCAAGTGATAAACAATTCGAATGAGCTTACTGATTCTTATTTTTATACATTAATCCTCGAGTACAAAAATGGGTTGTATTTTTGTTATTGCAGCAATGCTTCTTGCACAACAAATTGTTTGGCTCCTTTTGTGAAGGTCATGGATGAGGAATTGGGTGAGCATCCATATTTTCGTAGTTTCGATAATATGTCCCTCCATGTCCCTGGAAATTTCAACTTCTATTTTAAAGAGTTACAAACTCACTGCTGTCGAAACACGATATCAGTAATGTCTTCCTCATCCAATTTACAGGTATTGTCAAGGGAACAATGACGACTACTCATTCATACACGGGTGACCAGGTAATTGCAAAGAAACAGTGAAAACAAAAAAGGTCATTCTGGTGGTGTATGTTTTTCATGGTTTAAATTTACTTGCCAAAAAAACAAGCAAACAAACGATAGTGTCCAAGAACACATTGTATTGAATTATGATGAAAAATCTAGAGAGAAATTTACATTGCTTTAGCTGAAGTCGGAATAAATTCTTCATTATGCTGTGCACAGAGGCTTTTAGATGCTTCACACCGGGACTTGAGGAGAGCAAGAGCTGCAGCATTGAACATAGTCCCAACAAGTACTGGTGCAGCCAAGGCGGTGTCTCTGGTGCTGCCCCAACTCAAGGGCAAACTCAATGGCATTGCCCTCCGTGTGCCCACACCTAATGTCTCTGTCGTTGATCTCGTGGTGAATGTTGAGAAGAAAGGAATTTCAGCTGAAGATGTGAATGCAGCCTTTAGAAAGGCAGCTGAAGGACCTTTGAAAGGTATATTGGATGTATGCGACATCCCTCTCGTGTCAGTAGACTTCCGGTGCTCTGATGTCTCTTCCACCATTGACTCCTCTTTGACAATGGTCATGGGAGATGACATGGTCAAGGTGGTGGCCTGGTACGACAATGAATGGGGATACAGGTACAAATGATCGATACCTCGTATAGTCTAGGATGTTGAAGAACTTGTATTTCATGTGCTTATGTTGAGCCTAATTTACACTATGCTTTAAACCTTAGTATTTTCAAACAAATAATGAATGCAAATGATGTATCATGTGTTTTTTTGTCATTTGTAGCCAACGGGTGGTTGATTTGGCACATCTGGTGGCAAACAAGTGGCCAGACACGGCTGTGAAAGATAGCGAAGACCCATTGGAGGAGTTCTGCGAGACAAACCCTGCTGATGAGGAGTGCAAAGTCTTCGAATCTTAGTAGTTCATATATTATTTTTCTCTTGGCTATTTGAAAATAATTTGTTCAATAGGCCATGGAATTTCATTGTCCATTATCGTTGAATTCTTGCTTTGTAATGACAATTGAAGAAGGGAATAGAATTACGAACACACTATTAAGATAACGTAATACTTTATTTTGCAAGGCTTTTTATAGTCGTTTTGTGAATATAGAGTTGCATGTGACTTGGCATCGATTACACTTCTGACTGAAAATATTTGATTCTTTTTCTTCATCTTCTTCATCAAATCTACTGATTCTAGTTTGTTTGTTTGTTTGTTTTAAGAGATTGAAAAGTAAAGTGTAGGTGTTTCTAGATGAGAACTTTCAAGTTCTTCACATTATGAAATTAGAATCATTGAATTACTTGTGATGACATTACATTCTTCCTCTGCATATTGAAATCAACATTGCAGTGGTGTCGGTTTTAGCAAATGCAAATTTAGAATCACATATAAGAACAACTCTCTAAATTCACACACCACACATTTTTCGTCAAGGCTATATCTAAGGAACTGGACCTACAAGATTCAACTCTCCCTCTAAAATATTTGGGCCTTAAGCAAGTGATTTGTAGGTTACATAGACACAGCGAGAGTCGATAATCAAATCAAGTTACTTGAGCTTAACTCGGATTTGACTCGTATAAGACTTGAATTTAACTTGATTTGTTTTATAAAACTAGCCAAATTTAAATAATTTTTGAAGCTTGTTTATAAAAACGAGTATAAAAACTTGACTCATTTATATGTAAAATATTCGAGTTCTTCAAATTTGACTCGTTTTTGGATCAAGTCGGGGTCGACTTGTTTAAAAATGAGTCAAATTTAAATAATTTTTTAGACTCTGCTCATTTATCACCGTATAAATTGAAAATAAATAGGGTAAATTTCACAAAAAAACTCATGAACTATCACCTTTACATTAAATTGCCATATAATTTTTTTATTATTCAAATTTACCCCTAATTATGTAATTTGTTTCAATTAATTTTTTTGTTGAGATTAATCATTAAATAAGATAAATTATCAATTAATTTTAATAAAATATGTCTCATTCAATGGTTAATTTTAACGGAATTTGTCTTAATTAACGGTTAATCTTAAAAGATAAATTATCAATTAATTTTAATAAAATATGTCATCATTCAATGGTTAATTTTAACGAATCTGTCGTAATTAACCGTTAACCTTAAAAAATAGTTTTTGGGAATTATTTTTTTCAGAAACGTATATACAAAAAATCCTTTAAAAAAACGTTCGAAACGGTAGTCAGGGATAACGCTGCCAACCATCCCAAATGTGAAGTCAAACTTATCGACGTGGCTTTTTCACTTGGCAACCAAGAATTGGTTAGCAGAATTGGTGGGACCTATCTCTCATAGGAACTCAGCTTGACTAGAATTCGGTTGCTCGACGCCGTACGATAACGGAAGGAACTGAGGAAGCCTTCTTGATTCTTGCAAACATATAGAGAAAGAGAACAGGAAATTGTTTTTGCCCTACCCAAAGAAATTCTTCGAAAACCTCAACATTGATCTGTTCTTCGATCAAGTTGGATTAGACTCCATGGTGCTATAGTTTTGTTTTGTATTGGATTCGCAGAGAGATGAAAGGGCTTTTGAAATATTTGCTGTGCTTCGTCCTCTTAATTTCTGCTGTATTAGGAGGTCCGTCGAGCTCAAACGCCTCCGTCTTCGATCCAAATCAGGAGGGTGCGATTGTCTTAAGCCATTCTTCTACCGACTCTCTATTGCCCGTCAGACCGTAAGTCCTGTTATTTCGCCTTTTGCCTCTTTTTTCCTTTTTGAATGAAGACTAGGGTTTTGTATATATTCCTGCATTGCAAAATCTTGATTTCTTTGAAGCTTGTAGATTTTCATCTTTTTAAATCCTGTGATCAATGGTTGAAACTCTTTATCTCACGTCGATGATGAAATTCGGTGGGTTTTGATCTGTTTTTAAGCGAACCACTGGGGTCGAGGATTAATATCCTGTTGGTATGGCCAAAGGTAGAAATATTAGGGCTCCTGCTTATTAAGTTGGTCATTTCCTACTTTTAATTAGGTTATTATCGTCATCATGAATTGGAGCTTTGAACTGAGTCATTAAACACACAATGGACTATTGTTGCCTCTCTTACTCTCTTACAAGAAGCTCACTCTTTGGAAAAATAACTGCTGCCTCTGGTTCGAGAAGCTCTCTTTGGAAGTGTCTACTGTCTGTCTCACTTAGTGAAGCCATTGGGCTAGAAAAATCCAGCACTGCTACCATCTCGCGTGCACGATTGTCACACTCTGTTGCGAATTTGTGCACTTAAATACATGCATATGCAACCAATGTTTGTGATGTCCCCGACCCAAATGTACAATATTGTTAACTTTGGACTAGTTGCTAATGGCTTTAAAATGTGTTATACAAGGAAGGCCCAAAACTCAAACTTATAAATCACTCCACACCCACTTCACCAAATGATGTGATATTTGGACAACACAATGTTTGTATTTTATTTTCAACCCTTTGCTTTGGTTGACTATATTTTCTTCTATACTCGACTCAACAAAGCCTTAATTCTAAGTATTTGGGTTCAGCTACATAAGTCATGTTTCGCCATTGTGCATTAGCAAGGGTCATATGTTCCATTAGACCATAAACTATCATATTTTTTTTTTATTTCGTTCACTATTATTTTAGGCTTACTTCTATCTCTCGCATTACCATCAATATGTATCCAATCACTCTTCCTTACCGATACATTATTAGGTCTTCAATAAAAATGTAAAAACCTCCTCAGTCGATATCTTGTAATTTATCTTTTATTGATACTACTTTTACATTTTATGAATATACTCATTTCTAATTCTATCATTTCCTGTTTTACTACACATCCATTTTAATATTCTTATTTCGACAACATTTACGTGATCACATAATACACCAAATAAATTCTACCATTTAGTTCATCCTACTTTAATTCTATGATTAACATCGTCTCCAATCTCTCATTCCCTGTGGATAATTGACCCTAAATACCTAAAGCATTCGCTCTTGGGTATCTCTCAATTTTGGATCTTTATTGTCTCTCTATTTGGGTTTCTATTATTACTGAAACTACATTCTATATAATCGATTTTATATCTACTTATACTAAATTTTTTTAATTCTAAAATTTCTCTCTAAAGTTCTAGTTTGTTGTTAATTATTATTAATCAATACTATACTATCGGCAAATAATATAAACCATAGAATCTCGCACTGAATGTGTCTAATTAATTCATCCATAATAAGGCAAAAAGATATGGACTTAAAGCGGAACCCAATTGTATGCCTACTGCGATTAGGAATTCACTACCTTCTCCTTGTCCTAACTAAGGTCAATGCACCCTTATACATTTCCTTAATCATATTAATATATCTATTTGTACCTCTCTTCTTCTCTAAAATCCACCATATTGTGTCATTAGGTATTTTATCATATGTCTTCTCCAAGTCTATAAACACTATATGATATATTAAGTCTTCTTTTTTTCGTTATTTTGTTGTGTTCTGTGCTTCAGTAAACATGATACGGCATTAGTGGCTGCTCCAGATGGCACAATATATTTAGTGGAGGTGGGCTCAGGAGAAACCCTCTGGTCTTTTACATCAGGCACATCAATCTATTCTTCATACCAAGCTCTTCAAGTTGATCAACCTAATGCCTCAGAACTGAGTGACAAGTTTTTAATAGATTGTGATGGGGAACTCTACAAGCTCGGCAGTGGCTTTACCAAGGTTTGTGAATGTGCAACATGTAACTACTCAAAACACACCTCGCACACTGTTGAATGTTGTTTTACATTAATAATTAACTGTGCTTGAGAATTTTTGTGTCTCGTTGTTTGATCTAAGGAATTTTTAGGCCTCATATCTTGAATTCTTTTGGGTGTTATGTGAATCTATTTATGTTGATTGCATGATTTGTGTTAATGAGGAACACCCTTTGTGTACACCAGAAACTCCCCCTGTGTGCTGAAAAATTTATCAGAAGTACACCATACGTATCGGCTGATGGTGGAGTCATGCTAGGATCAAAGAAAACCTCTGTATTCCTGGTTGATGCCAAATCTGGAGGAGTTGTTCGTACTTTTAAGTCAGATGAGTTTCCTTCAGTTGGGGATCACAGTATTGATGAGAAGTCTATTTTAGCAATGGATAACATTGAAGAATGGACGGAGCCTAGTGCGTTCAACTTGGATGCAGTTGACGAGCCACTCTACATTAGAAGGACTGACTATGCACTGAAGTATTCTTCTTTAAAAACAGGAAAAGTTATATGGTATCTAATGTTTGCTGATATTGAAGCTTCTCCTCAATGTCATCTGATTGAGGATTCTTTCGGTGAAATCTCTTCTAAAGGGGATGAGTTTGGCCCAAAATACAGGGTTGTTAAGCAATTGCCACTGGATTGTCAAACAACACCAGTTGTCTACCGGATTCCTGATTATCACTCCTTAGACAATCTTTTTGTTTCTGGTAGACTGCCAAGTGCTTATCCTGGAGGCACAATACCTCCTTTACCTGCTTCTGATCTCAGTCCTATTTTAGGGCCTGTTGACAAGTTACTAGGGGCTCATCGTAGTGATGAAGGGGAAACATTGCTCGCTTTGCCCCCTTCCAAGACCAAAGACTCTGGGATTTTGGGCCTGCCCAGTGGAGATTCTGGTAAAATGAATATGAGCTCTTATCCTGAAACTATGTCTAGATCCCCTCGGTGGATTCTTTTAGTTGTGCTTCTGCTGTCTGTTCTCGGTTGCATTTGTTCCTTTATTTATTTAGCAGTGAAGAAATGGGTTAAGTTGGATAATCATGCTGAGGATTTTAAGGTGCAGGTTGTGACGTCCAAAAAGAAGAAATCACGGAAATCGGGAAATAATAAGAGCAACACTACTATTGAGAAAATGCAGAAAAATGTTTCCCATGGGATGCCGCTTACCTTTTCTGATAGTGTTGACAGTCTCGTAGATGGACGGAAGATTGGAAAACTGTTTGTTTCCAACAAAGAAATTGCTAAGGGGAGCAATGGGACCATTGTGCTTGAGGGATTTTACGATGGTCGTCCGGTAGCTGTTAAACGCCTTGTGCAAACTCATCATGATGTGGCTTTGAAAGAGATTCAGAATCTTATTGCATCTGATCAGCATCCAAATATCGTCCGATGGTATGGAGTGGAGTATGATCAAGATTTTGTTTATCTTTCGTTGGAGCGCTGTACTTCTAGCTTACATGATTTGATAGATTACTACTCTCGTTCTTATCAAATTCAAAAAATTTCCAAGGATTTGGATCTGAACTCTTTGAATGATTGCGCTGGTCAGTCAAAATCCATAACGATAAACAATAAGGATTTTGAGTTGTGGAAGCCTGATGGGTATCCTTCTCCACAGTTGTTAAAATTGATGAGGTTAGTTTGAACTCCAATTGCTCCCTTACTTTTGGCTATTTTTTAGCACTGCTCAGTCATAGTCGTCGACATAGCATTGATATGTGTATATCAGCCGATTTCACTTTGAAAAACAACTTGTTTGATGTTGCTGGACAATTGGATTCATTTTCTTTTTGACGCCATAAATTTGAAACATTTCTAAGAAGCAACCATTGCTCTTTTTATTGAGCTCACAGGACAAGAGTTTAGAACATTAGATCCAGTTACGTCTAGTTAGTGTGTTCATATTCACAATAGAAGCATAATATTAAATTCAGAATTGACTACCATTGTTAGGGTGGACTATTTGTGATAGTTCTGCTTGCTTATCTATTTACTTATTAGCTGTGAAATTGTGATATTGATTATACACTACTATATATACACTACTATATTAGTGGCAATTACATGGAATCCCCTAAGTTTTGGCAAAATGATAGGGGTACTCTTTGGCATTATAGAAATGACTGGGACACCTCTCGAATCCTATGTTATATCAGAAAGATCCCTTACGAGTTGATGCAGCATTGTTGAAACATATTGTTCTTTTGTGGGGTGTTGATAGAACTTGAAATATCATTTATTGTTTGGGAGATTTTGTTTTGTATGGTCGTGGGTCTAGCATGGGTATCTTGGGGATTTTTTGCCAAATGTGTTTGACATCATCCAACTTTGACAGCCTCTCAAACGGACTCTAACGTGAGGGGGTTATGTTATACGTGAAACCAAACCTCAGGGGGTAACCTTTTTTTTATTGTTTATGTCTGTCCTTGGAATAACTTGTATTTCACTACTCCGGTTTGCTGCCATTGTGCTCTTATGGGATTTGTCAATTTGCTTCAAAAGTTCAAATAGCTTTCTTAAAGGGAGAGTTCGATGGTAGAGCAGAATCATGTGGGTTGTAGCTATTTTTGATTGAGTTGTTTTGGAGCCTATCTCAAGTTGATCACTGTAGAGGCAGAAAATTGGTTATACCTCTTTGTGAATTTGTGATACGATTTTTGAGAATGAAATTTGAACAATCTCCTCAACTCTTTCCTGCAAAACGAACAAACTGCCCAAGATCGAAGTGTTTCAATCGAAGGCACTCCGATGCTTAAGTTAGTAATGGAACAGAAAGAATTGTGCTAAGTCTAGGAGAATTAAGCGTATTTTTCACCTTGGTCTTTTCTACTTTTTATAGATCATTATCCCCTTAGGGTTTCCACGATTTTAGGTTCAAGGTGGCACACCTTCCTTCAATTCAGTCATTCAGTTTGGGAGGTTGCTAACATTTCTCCATTAATTCCTCTTGATATCTACAATTTCGTTGATTCGTTTATCTGATTGCCTAAGTTATAGGCGTATCTTTATCCTTCTGTTTATCTAAAACAATTCGGACATATCAATTGCCGAGCATACTTGATTTGAGCCGAATAAATTAAGGAACTTGGTTTGGCACAAACCTATTTCCTCAATTGTCATGCTAAATACTTTACCAGACTCGACTTGGTACAAGCCGAGCTCTTTCATTGCTTAACCGAACAGACTGATGAGTTCGGTCATAAAGAGAACCAATATATTGCCGAACCTTTAATTAGCTCAGCTCGGTTGGAAAGCTCTTAACAAACGATCCTTCATCACGTGGCTGGTCTTATCAACATCACGTGAGCACATTTAATGCTGTGTCACGTGTAATCATGAGGTTTTACCCCTTCAATCACTAATCTCTTTGGGCTGTTGTGCCCTCATTTTTCACCATATGAATGCTTTTCATGCCAATTCTTTGTTAAAATCTTAGCTCTAATTGCCAGTGAAAATGGTTGAATTTAAAACTCATTCATAAACTTGAATATGCAGGGATATAGTTTCTGGGCTTGCCCATTTGCATGAACTTGGTATTATACATCGGGACCTAAAGCCTCAAAATGTTCTTGTAATCAAGGAGAGGTTCATATGCGCCAAGCTTTCAGATATGGGTATCAGCAAACGCCTTGCTGAGGACATGTCTTCATTGACCAAACATGCTACTGGTGAGTATCTGCTGATGTTGTTGTCAGTCTTCTTCAAATCTCATGAAGCCTACATGTGCATAGTAGGTTGCTTGGTTCTTGTTGCAAATGGAGCCATGGAGGAATGATATTGATTTCATGGATCATTTAAGACCACTTCTTAAATAAATTACGAGATGGGGGTAGCTCTTCTGTGACTCCTTTTGTGTATGTGGCATGCCTGCTGCATATATAGACAATAGAGTATAATCGACTTATGTCTCCGTTTTGTTGTTCAATGTAGGTTTCGGAAGTTCAGGGTGGCAAGCACCTGAACAACTTCTTCACGAACGCCAGACGCGAGCCGTGGATTTGTTTAGTCTAGGATGCCTTCTCTTTTTCTGTATAACTGGTGGAAAACACCCATTTGGTGGCAGTCTTGAGCGTGATGTAAATATAGTGAAAAACCACAAAGACCTTTTCTTGATAGAGAATAATCCAGAAGCTATGGATCTCATCTCTCGTCTCCTAGATCCCAAACCTGACTTGAGGTATGACTTGGTCTTAGCTCTCGATTCTTTCTCCACTTGACAATTGCCACCTCTGCGTACATACTCCTATTATGTATAGTGCATTTAAGAGACAGTTTGTTATTGGCTGTCTTTGTTTCAAGCATGCATACTCCTATTTTTTTTTCCCCATTTATGATGACGGTTTCCATATTGCCTGTTGTTTAGGCCAAAGGCTGAGGAAGTATTGCCTCATCCTTTCTTTTGGAACTCTGAGATGCGACTCTCATTTCTTCGAGATGCTAGTGATCGAGTAGAAGTGGAAGATAGGGAAAATGATTCAGAGATCCTGCAAGCATTGGAAAGTATTGGAACAACGGCTTTGGGTGGTAAATGGAATGAAAAGATGGATATTGCGTTTATTAATGACATTGGCCGTTACCGGCGTTATAAGTTTGATAGTGTTCGCGACTTTTTACGAGTGATAAGGAACAAGTTAAATCACTACAGAGAACTTCCAAGAGAAATTCAGGGAATTTTAGGGCAGGTTCCTGAAGGATTTGAGAGCTATTTCTCAAGCCGATTTCCCAAACTTCTTATTGAAGTTTATAAAGTATTTCACCAGTATTGTGCAGAGGAAGAATCATTGCGTAAGTACTTCAGAAGTAATTAAAATCGACCTTTTTTCCCTGTAACTGTTGTCCGTGGAACAACTTATGTTTATTATGTAAATACTAGTGTTCCATATTGAATTGTAAATTGATAGGCATGCAAATGTTTCATTAATAATTTCCGTAAGCCATGGATATATATATATATATATATACAAGAATAATTACTGGGAATCTAATAGCGGTCGTTGGCTTAGTAGTTAGTCAGTCAGTCCAATGGTAGGCTGCTTAATTTTGTAGGTTTAACAAGGACATCTTTTGAACCCGGCGGACTAGAGACTTTCTGTACGAAGCTGGTGGTGACTTTTTTGAATTTTTGCTTAATTTGGGGGGGAATTGTGGCATCATTCTTGCATTGAGCCCAGCCAGCGGAGTGGATATTGCATTGGGCCCAGCCCGCCCAACCTGAACTCGAACCCTAAAATACTTTGCAGTCATGTCACAGAAAGCTGATTTGAGATTGAAAATATCCGAACCCTGCTGCACTGCAGTCAATAAAGGTCAAGAGTAGGCCATATACTGAGAAATAATTCTCCTCTCTATGTCAAGAAAGTGAAAGAGGTTGTCTCCACATAACGGATATTTAGAAGCGGATGATCGAAGCAGCAGGTCCAACCGTACGTCCAGGCTGTAGATAATCGGTGCTGTAATTCCCACACTAATCCAATGGCTTTCCCGTGAAAAAATGAGTACATATATTCACTGCCCCAGCGGACAATTCCTACATTTTCTTAAACTAAATTCCAACTCTAGTAGTCTTCAGCTATAATATTAATGGCTGTTCCCCATCTCCGGCCTCTCCTCTCTCTCCTCTTCCTCTTCTTACTCAGTCCCTTTTGTAACGTTTTGGGTGTTGGAATAAACTACGGCACCCTCGGAAACAACCTTCCTTCACCAAAAAAGGTGGCTCAGCTCCTTCAATCCACCCTCATCGACAAGGTCAAGATCTATGACACCAACCCAGAAATCCTCGAAGCCTTTTCCAACACCGGCATTGACCTTATCGTAGCCGTAGAAAATTATCACGTAGCAAACTTAAGCGCCGGCACATCAGCAGCCAACGAGTGGTTCGCCACTCGTGTCGTGCCATTTATTCCGGCCACCTCCATAATCGCCATCGCTGTCGGCAACGAGTACTTAACCACAGACGAAGATCACTTGGATCCTAATGCCCTAGTCCAGGCCATGCAAAACTTGCATCAAGTTTTGATATCTCGTGGGTTGGACCGTAAAATTAAGGTCACAACCCCACATAGCATGGCTGTTCTTGCTTCTTCATTCCCTCCTTCTGCTTCCACATTTGCAACCACTCTCCTACCCACCATGACCTCCATTGTTGACTTCCTAGCCGACACCGGAGCTCCGTTCATGGTAAATGCATATCCATATTTTGCATACCGCGACAACCCTGGTACAGTTAACCTAGAGTATGCATTGTTAGGAAATGCCACCGGGGTACGTGACCCTAAGGGTTACAGCTATAACAACATTTTAGATGCCCAAATTGATGCAGTTCGATCGGCTATCATTGCACTAGGGTTTGGAAACCGGTCGGTCGAGATTACTGTGTCGGAATCTGGCTGGCCATCGAAGGGTGAGGCCGGAGAGACCGCCGCTACACCGGAAAATGCTAAGACATACAATACTAGGTTGATTGAACGTGCTCAGTCCAATAAAGGAACACCCATGAGGCCTAAGGATACCATAGAGATATTTGTGTTTGCCTTGTTCAATGAGAACAAAAAACAAGGGGGTGCAAGTGAGAGAAATTTTGGGATTTTTAATGGGGATGGGTCAAAGGTGTATGATGTGGATTTAAGCTGTCAATTTTGTAGCAACACTGGAGATAAACTAGGATTTGGGGAGAAAGTATCTGGTTTGGCAAGGGGGCCATCTGTTTGGTGTGTTGCTAAACCTCATGCAGATGAGAAGGTGATTCAAGCAGTGTTGGATTTCTGCTGTGGTCCAGGGGGTGTAGACTGCAGAGAGATTTATGAGAGTGGGCAGTGTTCTCAGCCGAACAAGGTTCATGCACATGCATCGTACGCCATGAATGCGTACTATCAGATGCATGGGAGGAACTACTGGAACTGTGATTTTAAGGGCACTGGGCTTGTCACCTTTAGTGATCCAAGTAAGTACTTAAAATTTCTCTCATTTTTGTTTGTTTACCAACACATTTCTCATCTCTGTTACTTGCCATCTTTGACATGTTTTGTCAGCTATTTTTTTTTTTTTTTGTATCACTGCATAATAGAGAATACGTATCCTATCAAAAATTATCATATTTTGAAGTTACCTTACAATTTTTTAAAATACGAATTATAATTTTAAAAGACATGACCGATTTCAAAATTTTATAGTACATCATAAAAATTATAACTTTTAAAAATTAAGTTATACATTTTATAAATAAAATTATATTAACTGATTGAGAATATTCAAGATACATCACGAATAACCCTCCATCAGTTACAAAATGTATATTTTAACCTATAAAAACAGTGACTTTATGCTTTCATCAGAATTTAAAAGTGGATTTGATAGGGGTAGCTAATTGACTTTTGTTTCCTGTGTTCCCTTGTTTCTCCTCCGATGATCAAGGTTATGGAGCATGCCGGTATTCGCAACAGTAGAAGAAGAAAGATGGAGAGAGAGAGAGAGAGAGAGAGGGGTTGCAATATGGTTGACAGCTCTTTCTCATTACTATTTACTGATGATGTACTGGATTTGTTTGCTTTTTCAGAGCCTGGATTTGATTTTTGTTCACAAGCAAACTAACCTGTTGCAAATTTAAATGGCCGGGTTTCTGTAAAGCACTTTGAATTTTTGGTTGGTTTTGTCTAAAAAGGTGGGGTTCAAAGTCTTCTTTTTTATGGGGAGAAGATAAAGATGAGCACATCCACATGGTAAAAGCTCTCCACAATCAAAGGCTTTTTTCGTTTGAAAAAGTTTCAAATCTGTCCAAACCCAGAATCTACAATTAATAATTTCCCAAATTAACGTATCCAGTTTTTCTTCAAAACAGAGTTGGGGGGTGGCCCACGGATGATGATTATGTCCTCCGTGCATTTCTCTCTTACAATCAACTGTCATGGACCAAATTGATAGCCAAATGATGTTACTTTGACATTCCTCAATTAAAATTAAGTTGGACTATTTCAACCCGATTGCTTAAGAGCATAGAATTGAATACAAGAATAATAACCGATGATACATAAAAATAAATTTATGCACCACCTGTTGAGTAGTTAATATAAGTAATAAGTGTAGTAAATATAACGATGAGATCAACACAAATAATACAGATATAGAGTGATTCAGTTATGTGACTTATTCCACTTTAAAGGTAGCGACGGTGGCTGAAGAACTTTATTAATAAAGTTGTATGTGAGAGAGAAAGTCAGAGTAAGCTCTAGATGTGGAAAGATAGTTGTGTAAGATGTAAAGATGTGTAAAAGGTGTCGAGATAACTGTCATTCCTTAATATGTAAAGAATTTACAATTTATAAGAGCATAGTTCTAATTAAGGCGGATGACATAAATGATAAGTTACTAGTCTCTTAGGGAGAATAATTACCACTAAGGATAGATACAATCAAGGAGAGGAGTGATCTTCGAGCAATAACTATCCTTATAATTGCTTCACATGTGCGGTGATCTTCTAGGGTCTCTTGAACTTTGGACTAAGCTGAGGCTATGAACTAGACTTGACTTGCATTTTGGTGATTTGAGCTCAACTCACAAACTGGGCTTAAACCTGGTTTAAATTTGAGCTCGCCAATAATCTTGGCATCTAATCCAATACTATTGTTGCATTTTTAATGGGTCTTTATGTTAGATGTGTCTGATGTCGACTCAATAATAATGATAAATTAATTCAATAAATTATTTTTAATGGGTGTTACAATTCAGAGTTTGCAAGAGAAGGCCCTGCCAATTTGCCATGGCCCATAGAGAAGACAAGCCTGAACTGTACCCTCATTCTCTGTTTCATGATGTAAAAGCCCAATGTTAATTTTTTTGGTTGGCCCAAGTATCCGTTAAAAGCTCACCCAACTTAGTTGATGATCCACATAGACAACCTCGGCCCACAGCCCAGCGGTCTTGTTACTTCTCCTTGGATTTAGAAAAGGAGAGAGAGTTAATTGTTATAGAAAAAAAAAACTTGCATGCAAACCACGCACGCGTGTGTTAGAAAGAGTATAAAGATTAGGAGAATGACAAAAGGTGTATGATAATTAATCATATAATGGCGTGCAAATTATGCAAAATGAACGATGATCTAACAATGCGAGAGAGAGAGAAGACTAATACTATATCTCCATCATTCTTAGAGCGGCGATCTCATAATTAGTTAGTACGTCGTTGCATTAATTGCATATGAGATACTACAAATTGCATTAATTTTGGCCCCATCACCATTAAACGACAACAAACTAACATCATCCAGCCCAGCCTTCCCTTCCATTCGCCACAACGCTAGTAAGATCCGATCTGATCTGATGGCTGGGACGGTTTTGGCAGTGTTGACCATGAACTGAACACGAGGCCATCCGGTCTACCAGAAGATCCACCAATGGAAACTCAACACCTCGCAATATATCTACACTTCTCCTCCATTTCTCTCTTTCAAAACACACCTATTCTGTTTCTCTCCATTCGTACCTTTTTTTTTTTTTCTGAAGGTCCCTTTTAGGGTTTTCATCAATGCCTGACAACTATCGTATAGGCAAAAGCACCACAATCGCCCTCGTCGTCTGTGACAAATTCCCACTAATTTTTGGATTTCCACGATTGAATTGTGGTTATTTGATGTATTTTTAGAAGATTGTGAAGAATTTTTACCAGAGTTGTATTACTGGTATGCACGAGCTATTGTTTAAAGTTGCGCCTTTTGGATCAAGCGTATGAATTCGTTTGAAATTTCTGAAATATGATGATTAGTTTGGAAGAATGTTGACGTGTGGAGATTTTTCGGATGTTTGCCTAACAAAACGTATATGAATCTTGGATAATTGTGGACACTCTGATCCCTGGATTTGTGGACCGTGCGATCTATGGATTGTGAGGGTTTGATAGTGTTAGTAGGATTTTGAAGAATGATGTACGTGTAGTTGGTTGTTATTTCTGTAAAAATCTGAAGGAACCACAGTTGACAGAAATTAAGTTCCAATATCATTCGGGTAATACTTTTAGAAGCCTTTGTTTTCAATTTGCTTCATTTGGTAAGATTGTGGAGTATTTGGGGGTTTTTAGGCCTTTGTAATTGGGTTGTCTGCTGATCATTTCGAAATTTTGTTGGAGTTCCAGACTGCATTTGGGTTTGTTGGGGTTCGTTTGGAAAAGAAGATCAGTTTAGGGTTTCCTTCAAGGATCTTGGTTCATGTTCCGGGAAGGTATATGGCTGCTGGTACTGATTTCTCACCTCCATTTCGAAATTTAGAAGGTGGTTACAAAAGGAACAATGTGGCTCTCATGGACGATGAAGATGAACTTTCAGAGAATTCTAACAATTCGAAGCAAATGACTAAAGGGAGACCTCCGCGGGACATTGCAGTTGTACGTCGTTGCATAAGCTCTGCCACACTCACAGATGCTGCGGCTTGGGTAAGAGAACTCTTTATTAATTGTATTCGAACGACATCTGTGATTGGATATTAGAAAATTTTTTTTCATGTTTTGCTGTTCTAAACTTCTATAAGTTCCACGAATTATTGCAACTCATGAAGTGATTGAGTGTAAGTTTAAGAAGTAAGATGAAGACTGCCTTGAATTTGGAGTCACTGCATATCAGGTTACAGTTGGACATCCGACGGAATTTAATGGATCTCTTATCTCTTACCCATTGTATGTTGGTTGATATCCATTATCCTTAATGGAGCCATATTATATGAAAATGGAATTCATCCCACCACTTTTTGTCTACAATTGGCTTTCAGTTACCAGACAGGACGTGCCTAATTTTCAGGATTATGTTTTTTAGTGCCTGCATTGAGTTGCTATTGTATGGAAATAACTAGTTTAAGGGGATGATTAAAGTTGCTCTTCCTAATGGGTTCATATTGTGTAAGTAAATAAGATTTCAGACGAAAATGCATCAAGAAATTGTGCACTTGGGTAGAAAGAATGGTTGCTTAGGTTTGAGATTTGACATTCTGGTTCTTAATTTCTGCCATCTTCCATGTGTTACATCCACTTCCCACAAAAAGTAAGGGCTTTTGCTCATATTTATTTGTAGTCTCCAAGTAGCACCCGACTTTACCCAATTTGATCTTTCTTTATTGAGGTTGATGGTATTGGTAGGGGTATCTTGAATGCATTCTTAGCCTTTCACATTATTTACATTGCCTGCATTTTCGAACTCCAACATTTACAATTGTTAGCCATTGATCAGGCAGTGACCCATCTCCAAGTAGTGCCCATTCTTTCAACAGACTTTTCTCAGCGTGGACACAATAATAAGCAGTGGACTATGTTCATGCTGACCATTAGAATACTGACAGTCTTGTTTTCCTCTTCGTCCTTTGAGAAATGAGGCCAACTACCTATTTTTTTTTCCCATTTATGCTGCATTAGGCTATCCACCAAGGAGGGAAGAATGTAGATTTGGAACCTTGTCTCAGACATTTAGTGCATAGTTCTCTCCTCTTTTTCTGTCCTGTTGGCAAGTGGCAACTAAATGAAGCACCGGCAACCTTCTTTTCTTTTCGTCTAATATGTACTTTTTTATCTACCATTGGATACATTATGTAAATGACTTACAATTAACTTTTTTCTGTCTGACCTTTGCAAGGATTTTGATCTTGGGGTTGTTAGTATCACGTCACCTTCAGATGGAACATCAGACTTCTTACCAGTGTTTCGATCAGGAAGCTGTGCTGAGAAAGGACCCAAGGAGTACATGGAGGATGAACACATATGTATAGACAATCTTCTTGAACATTTAGATGCTATTGCAGATTTCCCGTCCCCTGGAGCTTTTTATGGGGTGTGTAACAAAAACTATTCTTTACATGAATTTGGGTGTTGATTTAATATAGAGTAATGCTACTCCATTTTGTTAAAAACAATATCTTGGTTTCCTTATGCACAAGTTCACGTTGGGTTCTCACCTTGATAGATGTGGGGTGCTCACTGATTGACCATTTCTTCCTTGAAAGGTTGCCCTAAATTAGGCTTTTGGTGTCTGATCATGATCACTGCGTTATAGTAGACATGACATACATAGGCGCATATTGAGACAAGAAATAATACGAATCACATCCAATTGAAAACATAATCATCCATCTTTCTTCCTCACTCAATAAGGATGCATTTTGGAAGCCTTTAGTTATTTGGATCATAACTGGTAGGATTAAAGATTAGTATAGTTCAGGCAAATTCAGGAAACCCATTTGACATTTTTGAAATGATCAGCCTGCCATTAATTTCTGTAAAATAACTAATTGGTTTGGGTTCAATCTATTGTACAGGATATGGTTGTCAAATGTAAATTTATCGTTACCAGAAGATTAGGGTAAATGTGTGAGCATGAAATGAGGTGGCTGAAGTTAGATAAATTGAGCCCAATGATACTAATAAACACCTGTAGAGGTTAGAGATACTAACAACTTATAAGAGGCAATTTATATGTTCCCGTAACACCATTTTTAGCTATATTTTGTATAATATTACACATATTTCTCCTCTTTCTCTGGTTTTTATTATCTTTAATTTGAGGTTTTCATGACCTGTGGTAGTGTGGAGGTTGGTAATATTTTGAAGTACCGCCTTTTCTGCCTTGATTTCGTGACCTAAGTTATTATGCTTTTGATTCAATGTTGTTTTACTTTGCATTGGAGTGAATGTTTATTAGTTCATGGCAACAGGTGTTTGATGGCCATGGTGGTTCTGATGCAGCATCATTTATTAGGAAGACTATTCTCAAGTTTATAGTTGAGGACTCCCATTTTCCTGTTTGTTTGGAGAAGGCAATTAAGACTGCTTTTGTCAAAGCTGATCATGCATTTGCAGATGATAGTTCTCTTGACATCTCCTCTGGAACCACTGCACTGACTGCTCTGGTTTTTGGAAGGTAAATGAACCACAACAGTTAGTTTTTCAAATTTTAATTCGTATTAGTTTTCAATATGATATAGATAATGGTAATGCTATATGCTGTCATCAAAATAATTCTTAGAAATGCCACAACGTGGGGCAACGGATGGTTTACAGGTGTTTACAACTTGTATGATCTCCCTTGACATGTTTGTATGCATCAACTAAGAAATATGCAAACCAACTGCAACGCTTGTAAGAGATAGTTAAAGATGTAAAGGAGAAAACAAAAAAAGAAAGTAAATAAGAGAAGAGGCTGAGTTGATTGATTGTTTCAGACTGGGAAGAAGGGATTTTTTTTTGTTTTGAAGAGAGAAAAGGAGGGGGGGCGGGGGGGGGAAGAGAGATTTGCCTCAGTGCTGCCATGTGATTTACCTTGCATTCATGAAAAGCTTCTTCTGTGAAAATGTATCTTGAGCTGGGCGGACTGTTTACCTTGAAATTGGGAACACCAAAATATCACTAATAATACAACCACAAAACCCAACTGTTGGCATGCTAACTTGCGGAGGATATGGACCATGAATCCACAATATCTGTTCATAGCATTATTGTGACGAGTATTGGGATATTTTTAATTCACTTTTATGTTATTTGTGTTCTGTTGGGTTGGATAAGGTTGGGAATTCTCTTTTTTTTTTGTCTGGTTTTGTGTGTGTGTATTTTTTGGGAGGTCGAGTACTTGAGATTGGGACGAAGGCACACACAAGAGGGAACAGAGAGGATTATTTTGAGAGGTGGAGTGCATAATGGGAGTTTAATTAAAACAGAAATTATGTTTGTTGACCGTTTTTTAAACATAAGCAAGTGATGTCAAAAAAACTGTCTTAGCTTTCATTGCGTATGAAAGAAATAGAGGAAAATCAGCATTTCCACGTGTACATTCAATTCTAGACATGTTTCTTAATCACATTATTTTGATTTGCCACCCTGTATACCTGTACTAAGTGCTAATAGCAGTCCTTCTGACTGACATCAAGTGGGCACTTCGCTGACATATGTTAGGTGCTCTTTCACGTGAGAGCTTCTGCATGGCTAGGACCTTCAAGTGTGTGTGTTTCAGAACCACTTGTTAAATGTTCTTTTTGGTGGGTTAGGTGTTGGATTATATTTGACAGTCTTGCTCTTCGTAGAACAATGGTAGTTGCCAATGCTGGGGATTGTCGGGCTGTGTTGGGGAAGCGAGGTAGAGCAATTGAGCTGTCTAAAGACCACAAACCCAACTGCACATCTGAAAGGCTAAGGATAGAAAACCTTGGTGGAGTCATATATGATGGATACCTCAATGGCCAATTATCTGTGGCACGTGCTCTTGGAGACTGGCACATGAAGGGACCTAAAGGTTCTGCCTGTCCCTTAAGTGCAGAGCCAGAGTTGAAGGAGATGCTATTGAGTGAGGATGATGAGTTTCTCATTATGGGCTGTGATGGCCTATGGGACGTAATGAGCAGCCAGTGTGCTGTGACAATGGCAAGGAAAGAACTGATGCTACACAATGATCCTCAGAGATGCTCAAGAGAGCTTGTTAGGGAAGCACTCAAGCGCAATACATGTGATAATTTGACAGTTATTGTGGTTTGTTTCTCCTTAGATCCTCCTCCCCGGATAGAGATACCCCCGACCCGAGGTAGGAGGAGTATCTCAGCCGAAGGGCTGAATTTTCTGAAAGGTGTTTTGGAAAGTAACCCATGAGGAAATGGGGAAAAAGGAGCAAGAGGCCCCCCCCCCCGGCCCTGCACGCGCACAAGGGGGGGGGGGGGGGAGCACTGTGGCAAGAGGGAAGAAAAGCCTATGCTAAAAGATGGGAGACTACAATTGATAACTGCTGCTCCCATTTCTAGTTGACATTCATCTGTATCATTCTGGGTAATAAACAAAGGGAGCTGAAGTAGGATTTAATTTTTGTATTTTTTATGCTGTGCATTTGAGATATGTATGTTGCACTAATTTGAAGAATTCAGTGTTTTTTTTTTTTCTTTTCTTCCACAGAGATCATTTAGTGCAGTACATAGAATTCCAGAGTCCTTTGGTTTGCAATTGAAACTTTACTTTCTACAAGTTTGAGCTGATAAGTGGAATGCAGAACAGGAAGCTTTGATCTCAAAATAAAGGATAGAATGAATAATCATGTTTTTGTATGATCTATTTGACCAAGGGCGGGTAAATAATGTTCTATGATGGTTAGTTTGGCACATCATTGCGCAGATACGAACGCATAAAAGTGATTGTCCACCATTATTGTTCACCAATTGTTTTCATGGGCTGGTTTTCTCATCACTTCACATAATTAACCTGACTTTATTCTCATGCTCTTTCTGTTTTTTCTTCTTTCCTTGTGTTTTTCTTTATTCTCTCTCCTTTAAAAGCCAACATTTGTGACCTATGAATCACTCCCTCTTCATTTTACAAAGAGTAATGCTACGTGAACTTAAAAATTAGATTTGATAATCTCAATCATTGTATAAGTAGTGGGTCACAATAAATACTGGGACCTACAGTGAAATCAATGGTTGAGATTATCAAGTCTATTTTTGAAGTCTAGTTTTTAAGTCTATGTAGCATTACTCTTTTACAAAAGACTTCTAAATGATGGGAGACCTAGTAAACCAATGTGGCTCGATAACGAGAGGAGGTTGTTTATATTTTTCATGAATAACGTTGAATCGACATGATCAAGTCAAATTCATAATTTGCGTCGATATTCTTCTTTTAAAAATCGAATACACTTATAATTCTCAATAGTTACAATTTGTGTGTTACCTGGGTGCAATCAAAAGCATGGTTAAGCAAGNGGGGGGGGGGGGGGAGCACTGTGGCAAGAGGGAAGAAAAGCCTATGCTAAAAGATGGGAGACTACAATTGATAACTGCTGCTCCCATTTCTAGTTGACATTCATCTGTATCATTCTGGGTAATAAACAAAGGGAGCTGAAGTAGGATTTAATTTTTGTATTTTTTATGCTGTGCATTTGAGATATGTATGTTGCACTAATTTGAAGAATTCAGTGTTTTTTTTTTTTCTTTTCTTCCACAGAGATCATTTAGTGCAGTACATAGAATTCCAGAGTCCTTTGGTTTGCAATTGAAACTTTACTTTCTACAAGTTTGAGCTGATAAGTGGAATGCAGAACAGGAAGCTTTGATCTCAAAATAAAGGATAGAATGAATAATCATGTTTTTGTATGATCTATTTGACCAAGGGCGGGTAAATAATGTTCTATGATGGTTAGTTTGGCACATCATTGCGCAGATACGAACGCATAAAAGTGATTGTCCACCATTATTGTTCACCAATTGTTTTCATGGGCTGGTTTTCTCATCACTTCACATAATTAACCTGACTTTATTCTCATGCTCTTTCTGTTTTTTCTTCTTTCCTTGTGTTTTTCTTTATTCTCTCTCCTTTAAAAGCCAACATTTGTGACCTATGAATCACTCCCTCTTCATTTTACAAAGAGTAATGCTACGTGAACTTAAAAATTAGATTTGATAATCTCAATCATTGTATAAGTAGTGGGTCACAATAAATACTGGGACCTACAGTGAAATCAATGGTTGAGATTATCAAGTCTATTTTTGAAGTCTAGTTTTTAAGTCTATGTAGCATTACTCTTTTACAAAAGACTTCTAAATGATGGGAGACCTAGTAAACCAATGTGGCTCGATAACGAGAGGAGGTTGTTTATATTTTTCATGAATAACGTTGAATCGACATGATCAAGTCAAATTCATAATTTGCGTCGATATTCTTCTTTTAAAAATCGAATACACTTATAATTCTCAATAGTTACAATTTGTGTGTTACCTGGGTGCAATCAAAAGCATGGTTAAGCAAGTGATTGATGTAGAGTGAGATAATATATTAATAGTAACATTATGCGCATTGTACAACAAATTTTGATCAAAATTTATCACATTGTGTAATTTGGTCTAGATTGCGACCATCCAAATTCCACATTTCTTTCTCTTACCATATGAGAGTTCAATGACTATATATTAATTTCACCAATTCCCGCACTTCATTAAAAACAACTCAATAAAAAGAGTTGAATAATTCTAAATCAACACCAGTGATTTGATCAACCTAATGTGGGTGGGTGCAGTCAAGAGTCTATAAATAATAAAAAAATTTGATCGGCTGTGAGTTTCAGTATTTATTATAATTTATTACTTGATCAAATTAATAAATTAAATTAATATTTTAAATACAAATAACATTTTTCTAACCCATATATAACACGAAAGCCAAACATCTACATCTACGTAGACGTCTTCTCACCATTGTACCACCCAAAATTAGTGAATTGGAAATAGTGGTTGGAATGGCATAATCATTCTCTAACTCTTCCTCCTGGGAATAAGTAAAACTGGGTCCATCTCCAACCTACCCGACTACTGATATTATTATTCACAAACCAGTCCACCACTTTTGCAGCCGCGCATTCCGGATCATCAAACACAACCCAACCTCCACGTGTATCCCTGCTGTCCCTCTCTCTTCCTAAATTTCTTCTCTTAAATTATTGCAGATTGAAAGTGACTCTCCATCCCCTTCCTAAAGCACTTGTTCATCTTATAAACAATTACACATATTGCTACTGCCCATTCTTTTTCTTTTTTTTTTTTTTGTGTAAAAAATGGTGGGAAAGAAGAAAACATCAAGAGACTATCCTAATAAGTTTTTATTAGTGGGATCATCAGAATTTTTGATCGTGCCCGTTATTCTGCTAAAGAACGAACTTAATTAGATTAGTATAACGATTAACTACCAAATTTTAATATAAATTTTAAAATTCGAACCTCTAATCTCAAAATAAATAATTCGACCGACCGATACCCCAATTGAATCACTTTACTCGGCGGTAGCTACGGCCCATTCTACTCATGTATGGAGACAACAAATTGCCTAGTAGGAATGTCTACATCTCTTGTCATCTTTCTTAAGATGGACTTTCAAATTTTTTCTCTTCCAGAATTAAGTTCAATGAAGGGTTGTTTATAAAAAAAAGTAAAAAGCAATGCCTAGGCTAGATATGAAATACTTGATCCAATGGCTGTAAATCACTCACCCAAAAAGCTATGCTGGGACGCTGCTCTATGATGATTAACTTCATTTTTTAGTTTGTTTTTTCCCATAAAGGAAAGAGACAACACTGGAAAAAATATAGAGATTTACAAATCAAAACAAAAAAAAAAAGGCAGGGAATGCCATATGGAAAAAAGAAAAACGAAAAGCGAAGGAGTAGTAGGAGTTGAGGTACATCTCAGACTGGTTGTGTCGCTTTACTAAATTCCCCAGATTTCCAATCCACACTACGTTTTAGTGTTCGCATGAGTGTTGATTCGATTGTACATGTAATCTGTTGTCTCTGTAATCGGTCGTTGCTTGATGGTTAGTTCTATGCTCGAATTGGGTTTTATGTAGATTGCTAGAATCTGTTCATCTCACATCAGATTTGACCTTTGATCTTCTTCCAATCCCATCTCGACAAGAAAATTCAGCTTTGATTTGAGATCGATGCTTTTTCAGGTATGCCTAATGTCTGTCTTTGTTAAATTTCACCTGCTCTTCCCATCTCTTCCCATTTTTGTATGTCCGTTGACATGTACGGAAATATTTTCGTATATGAAGGATATCTTGCGACTTGAACTTCTGCTTGTCTTTTTTGAATTTAGCATGGGTCATATTTTCTGGGTTTGATTAGAGAGTTTTTTTTTTTTTTTTCCCACATTAAGTATAGTAGGACTCAAGGGTACGCCTCTGGTGATTCTTTTTCTAGTGATTGAGCTTTAGAAACTGTGCGAGTCCGGTGACTCTATATCTGGAAGTGAGTTGTTACTGCATCTATTAATGTTGTTCTTGCTGATCATTTATTGTTTTGTCGCTTGACTGAGGTAATTTTAGCATTTTCATCATAGGAGATTCAAGAAAACGAAAACCTCCAATCAAGTAGTGTAACTAGTTCGTTTGGTCGAGACAATCTCCTCTCAAAAACCTTCTGTGCATTGGTTCCTAACCCAAATAGCTTACTGTAGAAAGTAGAAACCCAGATATCTAAAAGATGAGGTACACCAGTCTAATGTCCTTAGTTTTCCTCACAATGCTATTTTTTTTTTTTTCTTTAGCAAACAAGTAGGAATTTTCCCTTTCCTCATTCCAAAATGTGTTTCATACATGTCCATAGTGCTGTGCTTTATGTAACCATGGAGTAGATATCACCCTATAGGTTTTCTTATTGGAAAACACCCTTATTGTGAAGTGTTTCTTCTAGGGGATAATTTGGCCTAATCTTTCTGAATGTTCTGTCGCAGATGATTGGTATCAAGCTTGCTTAAGAATGACATTCGCCACAAATTAGATGACAATAATGGTTCAGTTTCTTCTCTGTCAAAAAAATAAATAGGGAACAAGATGATGTCTGAAAGATTGACAGGGGAAACATCATTTCCTCGGGATTTTGAGGCTTTGAGTGTGTCTAAACGTCTCGTCAGAAGTGTTAGCCAGAAATTGAAAAAGAAGAACCATAGAGGTAGTGAAGGGGATGAAGAAGATGATATGAGGGGTGTTTCCTTGAGATGTCTCACTTTGTACGGTAGGGGTGGAGGTTGCAAAGTTGGTGCTGACACTGGTGACGAGTTTGGGGATCCCGGTAGTAGAAGACGGTCAAGTGCCAGTGAGGAAGGCAAAGGGTACGTGACAATATGTGGGACTGAGGAAACTACTGTGGATTGCTTCTCGTATGGGATGAAGGAGAAGTTTTGGAAGAGGAATAGCAGAAAGGTTTTGGAACTTGCTGAATCTCAGCGAAATGGTGGCGTGAATGTGTTTCTTCCTGATGACATTCTTGAAATGTGCTTGGTTAGACTGCCATTAATCAGTCTCATGAATGCCCGCCTTGTAAACAGGAAATGGAGAAACTTGACGACAACACCTCGGTTCATGCAGATGAGACGGGAAGGTTTGTATCAGAATCCGTGGTTGTTTTTGTTTGGTGTTGTCAGACATGGTTATTGCTCTGGGGAGATACATGCATTTGATGTCTCGCTTAACCAATGGCACAAAATAGATGCTGAAGTTCTGAAAGGGCGGTTCTTGTTCTCCATAGCTAGTATGAGGGATGAGGTTTATATTGTTGGCGGTTGTTCTAGCTTGACCAACTTTGGAAAAGTGGACAGGAGCTCATTCAAGACGCACAAGGGAGTGTTGGTATTTAGCCCCTTGACTAAATTGTGGCGTAAATCTGCATCCATGAAGTATGCAAGATCATCACCCATTGTAGGAGTTTATGAGGTCAGTTCGGATAGTCTGATTATTAGAAATCAGCAAAATCGGCAAGACAGGCGATTTCTCAGGTCACGAATTGGTGGTGTGTCAGATGTTTATGAGGATCCTCACAGACTCTCAGTTAGACGACAATTAAGACACTCTCTTGATGGAAACGAGGTTTCATTGTTGCCCAATACAAGGCCATACCAGTTTGCGAGGCAAAAAAGTGAACATTCAAAAACACAAGATTGCAAAAGGTTTGTGATGATTGTTGTTGGAGGTCTTGGATCATGGGATGAGCCTTTGGATTCCGGGGAAATTTATGATTCTTTATCAAATAAATGGATGGAAATCCAGAGGCTACCCTTAGATTTTGGGGTTGTTTGTTCTGGGGTCGTTTGTAATGGGATGTTTTATATATATTCGGAGACTGACAAGCTTGCAGGGTATGACATAGAAAGGGGCTACTGGATTGGAATCCAAATGACCCCATCCCCTCCCCGTGTGCATGAGTACTACCCAAAACTCATATCCTGCAATGACCGTCTATTCATGATTTCTGTCTCCTGGTGCGAGGGGGATGGTCAAATAGGCAGGAGAAATAAAGCAGTTAGAAAGCTGTGGGAACTCAATCTCATTTATCTTACCTGGACTGAGGTATCCATACATCCTGATGCCCCTATGGACTGGAATGCTGCATTTGTAGCTGATAGAAACCTGATATTTGGGGTTGAGATGTTCAAAATATTTGGACAGGTGTTAGACTTCTTGACCGTGTGTGATGTTTCGCAGACAGGAACAAACTGGAGTCATGTTTCGAGGAATCAAGTGGCTCATGAACTGGATGCTTCTTCGTGCATGACAAAATCGATGGCAGTGTTGCATTTGTGATTCTGGGGCAGGCTCTAAAACTTGCGCTGAACAATTTGGACATCTATCTGCTCTCATCGAGAGATTTGCTATATCTGTTCACATCAAATGTGTATGTATTCCTGCGGAATTGATTTTTCCATTCTAATAAGATTGTATCATTGTGACTTCATCTGTTATTATTTCTCATTCAAATTCTTATTTTGAATTTGCTTTTCTAGTCTTATATAATTTATTCATCAGCATTGAAAGAAATCAATCATTTGTCTGTTCCCGCCCTTACTTCTAAGTTCATTAGCTGCTATACAGGCTGAAATTGTAGCGAGCAAATGCTTTTGCAGGTTTATTTCTATTTCATATTTATATTGAAAAGAGCCATGACCACTCTGGCCGGGGGATCTGGGGATTTCTACCCATTTATAAGGAAAATGCTACTGGGACCTAAAAGTCTGACATAATTTGATGGAGTCCACAGTCAATCTAAATGTCATAGTGAATTAGGTCAGTAAATTAAGTCTCAATAACATTGCTATTTATTTTAAGCTAAACTTGTTAGACTTAAACAGTTAAGCGGTACATGGTACTGACTGGAAGCTTCATAAGCTAGCCTTTGGAATTTTTTTGGATGCCAGATAGTTTGACTATTCCAGCTTTTATGCTGAAATAAGGATATTGTTCGGTGTGTGTGTGTGTGTGTGTGTTTTGTTGGGGTGTGGAATTCTGCCAAGACATCACCATAGCAACCCTTTCCCGTTGGGGAAGCCCACCAGATAGTCGACTGATCTAGCTTGGATCAGAGGCACATCCACTTAAGTGAGGCTGAACTTTTGTATAGTTTGGCCTTGAGACTTCAAACCTACATGTACCTCTTGTTATCTGTAGGAAAAGCTGGTTTGATTACTGGCTATCAGCAGAATTGACTTCTAGCCTATATTCATTGTCATTATTGGTTGGGCAGTTGAAGCATTTACTGTTGAAGCTCTTGCAAGGCAATTGAAGCAATTCTGCCTTTTGCGACCTCTACCCACAGGCTCCAGTCTAATGGTTAGTCTATAAACATTCTCTCATGTCACCAACATGATGTTACAGCATGGCCATTCCCCCGGTGATTGAATGATCGATCCTTGACGCCTAGCGGCAGTGCAAAGGATGGGTCATGAAGATCTCTGTGACATGAATTGTGTAGAGTCAAAAAATTGGTGCAAAGGATGGGTCATGAAGATCTTTGTGACATGAATTGTGTAGAGTCAAAAAATTGGTTGTACTTCTGAATGTGAATTTGTGATATGACTTTTGGGAATCAAATCTGAACAATCTCCTCAACTCTTTCCTGTAAAACGAACAAACTGTTCAAAATATAAGTACTTTAATCGAAGACACTCTGATGCTTAAGTCAATAATGGAACAGAAAAAATTATGCTAAGATTAGGAGAATTCAGTATACCTTTCACCTTGATCTCTTATACTTTTTATAGATCATTATCTCCTTAGAGTTTTCACGATTTTAGATTCAAGGTGGCATGTCCATCTTTAATTCAGTAGTTGAGTTTGAGAAATTACTGATACTTCTTTAACAATTTCTCTTGATATTTTCAATCTCATTGATTTCGTTTATCTGATTGCCTAGATTTTAGGCGAATATTTAACTTTCCATCTATCGTTTTGAACAGCTCGGACATATCGAACGCCGAGCACACTTGACATTTTTCGAACAGATCAAGAAGCTTAGTTTGGTATAAATTGATTTCTTCAATCGCTTTGCCGAACACTTTAATGGACTCAACTTGGTACAAGCCGAGCTCTTATCCTACTTAGCTGGACGGGCTAATGAGTTCAGCCATCAAGTGAACCTAATTCTTATTTTGCTTGTCGAATGAACTGATTTGTTCGACTCGGTTAAAAAACTCTTAATGGAAGATCTTTCATCACGTGATTGGCCTTATCAACATCACGTTAGCACATTTAATACTGTGTCTTGTGTGATCACAAGGTTTAACCCTTGAAAGTACAAAATTTATCAGCTTTTAACTTCAGTAACATTGACATGATATCGGTTCAGAAGCATAATCACCCCGCATCCCAATCTAGTATTACTGTTTAATGAATGGATTCGCAAGGTTTGGCATATAGATGGAGAGGAGTGAGATTCTTTTTGATTAGGTAAAGAATAATGAAAAGAAAAAGGAGAAGAAAGTGAAGTGAAATAAAGCAAAAAAAAAAAAAAAGAGAGGTATTATGTTACAAAGAAATCTTTATGATTGTCCAAATCACCATTTTCCATGTTAAACTTGACTAATGATGTTAATATATTTCATATGAGGTATTTTGTTTGATTGTAATTGATATTTCAAATTACCAAATCAACTCAGCCCCTCCCCTTGATTCAGATCCGAATTCTGGAAATTGTCGATGACTTTTTTTTGGAAAAATTTGAATCACATTCATTTTTAATTTATTATATCTTCAAATACACTCTCTTTATTGTTTAAAATATCACTGATACTAGTTCTAGTTTATATTTAAATATCAGTAACACTCCTTACTATTAAACTATCATTTCTAACAAATATATATATATATATATATTCAAAACACCTAAATTATCCTTACATAAAAACCCCAAACAATCTTTCCTCATAAAAATTGAATAAACTTTCAGCTAATTAAAATTTTTTTTTTATATATTAAAATTTGAGCTAATTAAAATTCGTTTTTCTACATATTAAAATTCGATTTGAGATGATTAATTTTTTTTTTTTTTATGTATTAAAATTCTTTTTTTTTACGCATTAAAATTAGAATTGATTTGAACTCTATCTGAGTTATTAGCGTTGATTAAAATTTGTTTTAAGTCGATTAAAATTTATATTTTTCCTTATTAAAATTATTGTCAATTAAAATTCGATTCAAGTTAATTAAAATTTGAGCCAATTAAAATTTATATTTTTTTAGGTATCAAAATTTTGACCAAATTTTATGTATCTAATTTTAATACATAAATAAATATAATTTTTAATCTACTTGAATTTTACTACCTAATTTTTTTTTAAAAATAAAAGGGGTCTCATTGAAGATATACTTATTTAGAGGGGGTTTAGAAATTTTTTTTCTAAAATATATGATACACAATTTAATAAAATTATATTCTAGTTAACACTTTTAATCTGATAGGGGTGTTAATGAAAATTCAGAAAATAGAAAGGGCATCTTTAAAATTATGATAAACTATAAGGGGTATAACTGAAAATTTTCCTTTTATTTTTAATGAACACGCACGGAAATTGTCAACGTTGGCCAATCAGCATGCACCACAAAACGTTTAATTACCAAGGCCACCCTTCACAATCACCGAGTAGCAGTCAGTCGTACTGTAGAAGACACCCGCCACAATCTCAAATTCACACCCAATTTAAACCATTTCCCGCCAAAAACCACCCCCCAAACCCCCAACGGGAGTCGCCAAACGCTCCCTTGTAATTTCTAATTCTCGACAATCCTCAGACCAACTCTTTCCCAAAACTTCGCCCCCTCGAAGAAATGGACTCCACGACGCCATCGACAAACCCTAAAAACACCAAAAATGTGTTGCACATCGGAGGCATCCAAGTTCAATTCCCGTACCAACCCTACGGTTCTCAGCTGGCATTCATGGGTAGAGTCATCTCAACACTTGATCGAGCGGAGAGAGATGGTCACTGTCACGCATTGCTCGAGTCACCCACCGGTACCGGAAAGTCGCTCTCGCTTCTCTGCTCCGCTCTTGCCTGGCAACAGAACCACCGTTCCAAGAAGCTTTACGCCAACCTTTCTCACTCGAAGCCTGCTCCCGAAGCCTTTACCGATCCTCTTGCTCACGGCGGCGGTTTTGTTCCTGAAATGGAGCCTTCAGGTTTGCACGCGTTTGACTGTGCTGGAAAGAAACCAAGAAAATAATGATAATAATTGACTGCTAATTCTTTTCCATTTTTTAACCCCCAAAAATGGGAGTGCTTGTTTAAGTTGCATAACCCCCGCGGCCCCCGGCGGGGGGTTTCTTACCTCTCTTTTAACTTTCTTGTGGCTATCAAAACGAAAAGGGATGCAGGACATTAGCAGCTTTGATACTACTGTTTTGTTCTCCTAGATTTTCCAACTAAATTTGTTCATACAATTGTAAGTGGGGTATTATACAAAATGTGTTTTCCGTTAGTGTTCCTAGCTATATTCCGATGGGCTTTCTTGCCATTTTGCAGCCTCCACTTTAGCCTTTTCACTTGTTCTCTCTTGGCCTCTATTTGTAACTTACTTGATTACATGAGCTAGACATGACTGTTTCTACATGAGCTTGGATAATTATAGAATTTAGTTACTCTGGATACAATTCCCACCTACTGACTACAAGCATGCAATTGGGTAAGGTTCTACTTGCCCAAAAAGTCTTAGAAACTTCCAAATTAGTTTCGGACAATATTTTAATTCGTTGATTAATAGTATAATGGCTGAGCCAGTGCCATGTTTATAACATCTTAAAATATACAGTTTAAGGCATGTTATTTACCACTATATGCTGTTTTGTTTCACTCCAAAATTTAGAGATTCCTATTTTCCATTTTGATTGTGCTAGAATGATAAATTCATTGGGGTTTTTTTTCTTATGCTTGATTTTTTTTTTTTTAATTATCTGGTATTTCATCTTCAGGAAATCCAGAACCAGGTCCTCCGCCTATGGCCAACACCAAGGATCAGAAGAAAAAAACAACACCCACTATCTTTTACGCGTCGTAAGCATCATTGTGTTGGGTTGGTTGTATGGTATTTCACTATATATAGGTCCTCACATGCTGCTGTGAAGTATTGGTTTTTTTTTGGTAGCTTTTAGTTAGTACTTTCAACACAACACTTGAAGAAATCCCTGTTTCATATAACTAATATGTTAGTAACAGTAAAACCTTACTGATATTTGAATTTTGTATAGTTGTGTATGGGTTGAATTGTTAAGAACAGATCCGGGAATTTAGCTTTGAGTGAGTTGAGTGACCTTTAAAATTTTCAACAAACTTTTTTTTTTTTGGGGGGGGGGGGGTTTGTTGAGCCTATATAGTTTGAGATTACTCATACCTAATAGTTGGCTAGTCTATGATCGGAGGAATTTTCCAAACCTCGAGGGTCATCACCCTCCATTGATCCATCATTGTTGAGGTAACATACACTTCTGTTTTTATTTCACTGTTTACTCCACTTATCTTGTGTTTTTGATTTAAAAACTTATATTGTGATCATCTCAAGATTAGTTGTGTACTTGGGTAGACTTCTCTTGTAACTTCATGCTAGGAAATGTCAGCAGATTTTAGTAATCTGAGTTGACTTGTTGAGGGATTAAAAGAATATGAAACCACATGTCACGATGTCTTTTGTGCACCAAAGGATATAGTGAGTTGTGTGAGATACTGTGCCATCAAATATAGGGGAATGCACGTGTCATGCACTTTGGCGGTTGACCTGGAATCTAGGAGTTGGATAAATTGAGCTCTCAAAATCTCTAAGAAGTCTGGGAAGAATATTGAATTTTACATTAGCAACACATTTTAATTCGATATTGGATACCATATGTACTGACATCAATATTCATTTTTCTCTTTTTTTTTCTTTATTAAGGAGGACTCACTCACAAATTACTCAAGTTATCCGCGAATACAAAAAAACATCATATCGGGTGCCAATGGCAGTGTTGGTATGTGTAGCACAATCTCCATAACTTGTGATTTTCTAGCTCTTTTCTATTCACATTTGATTTCTGAGAAATTCCATATGCCTTATAATGCAATGCTTGCATTCTTGATTTGCTCAATGTTATCCTGTTGCTATGTCAATAATTTTGCATATAACATTTATCTTGAAGTAAATATACATATGTGCCGATGTTTATATGCATACAGTACATGAAACATAGGTATACATTGCGCAGGGATCAAGCAATGATGGTATTCTGTGAAATCGGTATATGCAGCACATGCAAACACATGTATAGTTGTATACAGTCAATGATGATATTTTTTGACTGCAGTCCTCTAAATAGTTTTTTATTAATTGTATATTGCTAAAAATGTCTGAATATGTAGATTGACATAGTGGATTTTTCGGCATGCTCGAACCATTCTATATCTAGTGACATTTTTTGAAAACTTCTTAAGTAGAGCCAATCATTGAATAAAATTGATTAAGCATAAGAAGATGAAGCAGTCAACTGCCATTTGGAAGTCCTAGATCCTCTATCTCTAATTTCCTATTCCTTTGATGGGAAAAGAGGGGGAGGGGGATACATGATCTCTTAATTTCCCAGCCATTTTCTCTGACGGAAGTTCTTTCAGTTCAAGGTGGTTGTTGGTGACTTCTATTTCATACATCTTTCAGGCATCACGGAAGCAGTCCTGTACAAATATGCATTTACGTGGGAATGATAACATTGATGAGCAATGGTGCTTTTCTTATATCTTTCAGGCATCATGGAAGCACTCTGTTTTCATTTTTGTTTCTCCTGCTAATAAGTGTATTTGAAAATTCCAGTAAGTTGCTTCTGAAGGATCGAGAAGTAGGATGCTCAGAATTCAAGTTAGTTGGTTTCCCTATTTGCATACTGTTTTATGTTCTAATGTCATGTGAGTGAAAGAGTAAGTAGTCATCAGCCAACTTTGTCCTCAAACAGAAATGTGAATAAGGTCAAGGGTCATCCTTCTCTTCAGAAAGGAGGTTGCCATGAGGCCCATGATATTGAAGATCTGGTGAAAGTTGGACAAGTTGTGCGAGGTTTTCTTTTGTCCTTAATACTTTCTTCAAATCAAGTTCTTTCTGCTGTCATCAACATAAGTCACTGAAGACTTTCTTCAATTTTCAGGTTGTTCGTATTTTGCAGCACGTTCGATGGCAGAAGATGCTCTATTAGTTTTCTGCCCATACAACTATATCATTAGTCCAGTCATCCGGAGAGCAATGGAAGTAGACATTAAAGGGGCCATTGTCATTCTTGATGAAGCCCAGTATGTATTGCAATCTCTCATCAACCTGCAGGAGACAAATCAGGATCATAAACACTAAAATTGAGGAACATGCAGGGCATAAATACTAAATATTTGATTCAGGCCTTTTCATTAAGCTCTATTTGGGAAATACTTCAAATTGAACGCTGTACATTCTATCTGGGGTTATGTAGGAACAAATGCACGATTTCACAAAAATTCATTCAGAGGGTTAGGAAAAGTTATCCCTGGGGGTTGGGTTTGGTTAGGAAGGATGCTGGGGTGAGCTGGCAATGTTACATTTCATGCCACGAATAGAGCAGAAAATGAAGTTTGTTTTGAACTATATATAAATTAAGTGGCTATTGAAGATTGTGCACCATGTAGTCTTCAGGATTTTATTAGTTTAAGCGTTTTTTTATTGGGTACTTTTGGACTAGTTTCTTCCATCTTATCTGTGGCTTTCACTTATTTTTCAGCAATATAGAGGACATTGCTCGTGATGCTGGTAGTGTGCATGTTGAAGAAGAGGTTTTGTATCGTAAGTGAGAGCTATTGCTTTCTTCTCTTTTAAATGTTGTTGATACATCTCTGATATTTTCATAATTTATGGAAGAGTTGCAAACGGAACTGGGGCAGCTCACTCTCGTTGACGATATGACTTACCGACCTTTACATGAGATGACACAGGTGATTGTTTTTTGCATTTCATAATGGCTGGGCCCAAACATACATCAACACAAGTTTGAAATGATTCTATTTATGTAGGAGATCATTAGCTGGATTGAGCGGAGGAAAAATACCTTAGAAAAGCAAGAATTTCAGCATTACTTCTCATGGTGAGTTGATATGGCTAATCTCTTGATATGTGCTCTGAGAGACAAGATGCAGTAACCCCATTTTTTTTTTTATCTTCTTTTGACTATTTAACTCATCGGATCTTCATTCCAAAAAATTTCTGCAGAAAATTTGGTTATGTATTTTGCAACCTTCCTATGCATCTTGCTTTCTTTCTATAACAATATATATGGAGAGAGAGAGAGACGTAATTAAATTAGGAAAATAGCACATCACAATTCCATTGACTCAAGAGAGAGATATAAGTTACACATGTGGGAATAAGACAATGACTCTATTACCCTTAACTCATTAACACTCCCCCTCAAGCTGGACTAAAAATATCAAATAGTCCCACATTGGAACAAATATTACCAATCTTATCTCTATTTAGTGACTTGGTGAAGATATCTGTCAACTGATTTACAGATCGTACAAAACAAGTAGTAATTTCTTGAAGCTTTTTATGAACAAAGTGACAATCAACCTCAATATATTTTGTTTGTTTATGAAAAACTGGATTTGAAGCAATATGAACTTCTTGAAACTTTTCATGAACAAAGTGACAATCAACATCAATATGTTTTGTTCGTTTATGAAAAATTGGATTTGAAGCAATATGAACTGCAGCGTGATTATCACAAAATAATTGCATCGGAAAGATTACTAAAATGTTAATCTCATGCAATAAATTCTTCAACCATATCAATTCACAGTTAGTTTAAGCTATAGCCCTCTATTCCACCTCAACACTAGATTGGGCAACAACATTCGCTTTCTTAACTTTTTCAAGTCCCCAAATTTTTTCTAAGAAATGTACAATACCCTAGGGTAGATCTTTTATCTGATGGGGAACCAGTCCAATGTGCATCAATAAAGTCAACTACCTGTAAATATTCATGAGTTCTATATAATAATCCCTGACCATGAACCTTTTTTAAGTATCTCAAGATTCTAATCACTGCCTCTCAATGAGGTACACTTGTAGATTTAATAAATTGACTTATAACACTAACCACAAAAAGATATCCTGACCTTGTAATAGTTTTGTATTAGATTCCATGAGAGTAACAACTGATTTTGTACCAGTAAGTCTTGTTTTTGCAAGTAGATTCGGTACATGCTTGCGTTTAAGACTTAAGAAGCATGGATACAATCACGGTTGTTGTATTCGATACAATACGAACACGGGAATACGATAAAGATCCAAAATATAGGACATGATTATGATAAGAATATGACTAATAAAAATAATATTATATATTTTTATATAAATACAAACCTAATAGACATTAAGCAATTGGTTGGATAATGTGCTAATATCAAATTAGGTAGTGGGTTAATTTGTTACAATTGAAGGGCTAATACCAAATTGGATAGTGAGTTAATGTATTTGACAATTAATAAATAGATTATACCAAAAAAGAGAATAATATTTTAAAAAAATTAAAATTTAATTTGTTCAAATCGAGTGAGAATACGAAAAAAAAAGAAGAATGTGACTGAGGAAAAAAATATAAAAGAGTAAAGCTAAACAAGACTAGGGCAAGTTGTGTCTCACATAATTGCAAAGAGAGAGAAATCACATAACAGAGAGAGAAGTCGTAGGAAGAGAGAGCGTCAGACCTTATGTTTGGTGAAATAGATGAATTAAAGAAGGAGAGGTAGAGTTTGAGATGACATACTTGGCCATATAAGTAGGGGTGCAATTTGGGTTGGGTAATCCGATTTCAACCCGAAAAAATTAGGGCTTGGGCAAGGATTTTTAATACTTGGGTTGAGTTTGGGTAAAAAAATTTCAACCCAAATTCAATTTGGGTTGGGCTCGGGTTAAGGCCTCGGGTTACGGGTTCAACTCGAGCTCGACAAATTGAAAAAAATATTATATATATAATTTAGGTGAATATTATATAATATATGAATTAAGTTTAGAACAACAAGCCTATTTTGGGTTCTACTTGAATTCAACCCGTAAACTAACCTGAAATCAGTCCGAAATTATTAACCCGAATTCAACCCGAGCTCGCCCTCCCTAATTAAACTCGAGCAGTGCTCGGGTTGAGCAACTCAACCTGAGGTAGGGTTAGAGTTAGGGTTGAATATTATATATCTAGGGTTGGGTTAGAGTTAGGGTTGAATATTATATATCTAGGGTTGGGTTAGCGTTAGGGTTGAATATTATATATCTAGGGTTGGGTTAGAGTTGACTGTCCAACCTGTCCAACCCGCCCGAGTTGCATCCTTACATATAAGTTCAGATCCATGGTTTTCAAATTCGTGGTTGAAGAAGAGATCACTTGGGTTAGGTCCCGTATCCCTCCTATATCTCTCTCGTATCAATATTGTATTTGATTTTTTTTTTTTTGTTTAGGACATTTGTAGAAATGTTGGACATGTGTCCGATTGTGTCTGATATCACCACTTTGACCTTAATTGGAGTATTTGTGCTTTCTAGGCTGAGACAGACTGATACCATTCTTGGATGTTGTCATCTCAATTCCAAGGAATTGTTGTAACTTTCTTAGATCTTTAATATGAAACTTCTGCTGCAAGAATGCTTTTAGAGCAATAATACATCCACATAGACAACTAAAATGATTATGCCAAATTCAGAATTTTTACTAAACACTAAGTGATCTACTTGACATTGATGAAATCCAAAGTCTAACATTGTTTCACTAAATTTGCCCAACCAAGTTCGAAGTGATTGTTTTAGGCCATATATCGCCTTCTTTAATTTCATACCTTACCACTAGATTCCCTATGAGCAACAAACTCAGGTGGTTGTTCCATATAAACTTCCTCATGCAAATAAGTATTTTAACATCTAATTGAAACAATGGCCATTAGAAATTGGTTGCGAGAGAGATAATAACCCGAACAAATGAGATCTTGGCCATGAGAGAGAAAATTTCAGCATAATCCACACCATAGGTCTGAGTAAAACCCTTGACAACTATAGGACCTTAATCTCCCAATGGAACTATTAGGCACGTACTTGATAACATACACCCATTGACAACCAACTAACTTCTTTCCAGAAGGAAGGGGAACAAGTTCCCAAGTCTAGTTTTCATATAAACTAGTGAGTTCCTCTTTCATTGCTTGATGCCACCCATGAACAAGAGCTTTATGAACAAAAGGAGACAAAACAGATGATGTAAACATCGAAAGGTGGGAGACAAGTTATCATAAGAAAGAAATTGTTCAGTAGGATGAGTAGTAGAACTCGTAAGGAGGGTACATGAGTGCTTATCTTTCCGAAGTGCAACAAAAAGATTAGCATCCAGAGATGATAGGAGATCAAGACCTTCAGACAACATAAAAGGTGGTGAAGGCATTTGAACAATAATCTGTTTATGATGGAAGTACACTAGCGTAATATGAGGTTTTGCAGTATGAGAAAAAGTTGATGAAGACAAAACAAGAAGGGGCAATTGAAGGAAAGATTGATCAAGTGCAACATTAGTGGCAGCAGAAAAAAAAGAAATAGATTCAAAGAATGTAATATTAACACATACAAATTGACGATGAAAATGTTGGATTATAGCACTTATACCCTTTTTGTGTGCTAGAATAACCCAAAAAATACACTTGGTAGATTTAGGATCAAGTTTATCAATGCTAGGACCTAACTGATGAACAAAGGCTATACAATCAAAGANATTTTTTTTTTTTTGTTTAGGACATTTGTAGAAATGTTGGACATGTGTCCGATTGTGTCTGATATCACCACTTTGACCTTAATTGGAGTATTTGTGCTTTCTAGGCTGAGACAGACTGATACCATTCTTGGATGTTGTCATCTCAATTCCAAGGAATTGTTGTAACTTTCTTAGATCTTTAATATGAAACTTCTGCTGCAAGAATGCTTTTAGAGCAATAATACATCCACATAGACAACTAAAATGATTATGCCAAATTCAGAATTTTTACTAAACACTAAGTGATCTACTTGACATTGATGAAATCCAAAGTCTAACATTGTTTCACTAAATTTGCCCAACCAAGTTCGAAGTGATTGTTTTAGGCCATATATCGCCTTCTTTAATTTCATACCTTACCACTAGATTCCCTATGAGCAACAAACTCAGGTGGTTGTTCCATATAAACTTCCTCATGCAAATAAGTATTTTAACATCTAATTGAAACAATGGCCATTAGAAATTGGTTGCGAGAGAGATAATAACCCGAACAAATGAGATCTTGGCCATGAGAGAGAAAATTTCAGCATAATCCACACCATAGGTCTGAGTAAAACCCTTGACAACTATAGGACCTTAATCTCCCAATGGAACTATTAGGCACGTACTTGATAACATACACCCATTGACAACCAACTAACTTCTTTCCAGAAGGAAGGGGAACAAGTTCCCAAGTCTAGTTTTCATATAAACTAGTGAGTTCCTCTTTCATTGCTTGATGCCACCCATGAACAAGAGCTTTATGAACAAAAGGAGACAAAACAGATGATGTAAACATCGAAAGGTGGGAGACAAGTTATCATAAGAAAGAAATTGTTCAGTAGGATGAGTAGTAGAACTCGTAAGGAGGGTACATGAGTGCTTATCTTTCCGAAGTGCAACAAAAAGATTAGCATCCAGAGATGATAGGAGATCAAGACCTTCAGACAACATAAAAGGTGGTGAAGGCATTTGAACAATAATCTGTTTATGATGGAAGTACACTAGCGTAATATGAGGTTTTGCAGTATGAGAAAAAGTTGATGAAGACAAAACAAGAAGGGGCAATTGAAGGAAAGATTGATCAAGTGCAACATTAGTGGCAGCAGAAAAAAAAGAAATAGATTCAAAGAATGTAATATTAACACATACAAATTGACGATGAAAATGTTGGATTATAGCACTTATACCCTTTTTGTGTGCTAGAATAACCCAAAAAATACACTTGGTAGATTTAGGATCAAGTTTATCAATGCTAGGACCTAACTGATGAACAAAGGCTATACAATCAAAGACCCATGGTGGAACTGAGAATAAAGGGCGATCAGGAAATACAATTTGGTATGGAATTTAACTGTCAATAACAGACGAAGGCATACAATTAATTAGGTGGCATGCGGTATGTATAATATCATTTCAGGAAACTTTAGGTATTTTCATATGAATCAAAACAACACGAGTAACTTTAATAAGGTGGCATTTTTTCATTCGGCCACTCCATTTTGTTTTGAAAAAATCACAAAATGAGTGAGAAATATATAATTTTGCATTATTAGGTTGTAAAGTACATTCAGACACATTAAATTGAGGCTTGACCATTGTCTTTATGACCTCTACCACTTATTTTTCTTATCGAGAGGTCTTGAAACACACAGAAAGAAGAATAAAAAGTTACTGAGCAATTTAATGATTTAGTGAGTTGACTCAGATAACAAATTGAATGGAAATTTAAGAACATTCAAGATTGAGGATAAAGACAATGAAGAAGTAGTGCCAACACCAGAGACTAAGGAGGAAGATTCATCAGCTAATGTGACATGTTAGTAGAAATATGATTAAAAGTTATGAATGTGCTCACATTATCTATCATATGATCGGAGGCCTTGGAGTTAATAACCTATGAGGATGAGGTAGCTGAATGGAACATCAAACGTGCTTTAGCTGATTGGGCCAAAGTAGCTATGGAAGTAGGAGTAGAAGTAGGAGCACCAGACTTAGAAACAAGGTGATTATACTCCTCCTTGGAGATAGATACAATCTTTAATGTGAATGGACGCTCACCAATAATAGACTGTTCTAAACCTAAATCAATTGATAGAGACATAACATGAGCATAAGAAAACGGTTTTCCATATAGATTCCAACAATAATATATTGTACGACCTTTAAGTTTTCCACAATAAATGTAGAACTTCATAGATCAATGACCTTTACCATCACTGTTGTCCATTGGTTAACGACCACCTCTTTATTGCCTATCGCGATTTCCTCTTCCCCTAAGAGGGAAATTGTTATTTCCTTGATTAGGCTGGATGGTTGAAGCCAAGTGGTCAGATACAAAAACACTATTATCAATGAAGGAAGCCCATTGAATGCGAGAAAAAACTTTTGGCATCAAAGGTATTTCCTTACAAGCCAAAAGTTGCGCGGGTCTCAATTTTGATTTTAAACCTGAGAGGAAACCATCAACCATTAATTCCTCATGCTGCTTTTTTTGGACTTTCAAATCAGTAGAGAATGATTGATAAGCATTGAGATTATTTATAATATTTTGTTGGGCAGAGTAGTATTCTTCGATGTTCTTTTCACCTTGCTCCAGAAGAAACAAATGTTGAAACAATTGATAAATACTGTTAATATTATCCTCTCCTAAAAACAAATGACTAACCGCAAGCCAAATCTCCATAGCAATTTCATTACAAAGTCATCACCTGTGCATTCTCTACTCGCCATTGTTTAAGCTTGAAATTAGATTCATTGGGCTAATCCTCTGTAAGATATTCACAATTGAATAGGGAAAATAGAACATTCCAATTCCATTGACTCAAGAGAGAGATATATAGTTACATGTGAGAATAAGTCAATGACTTTATTACCCTTAACTCACCATCACTTTCTTTATATGTTTTTGATGATTTGAGTTTTCTTTAATTAGCTCCTAACACTTGTGGGTATTTTTGGTTGCATCTAGTATCAACAAGTAGGATTTATTATCTTTTCCATGCAAATGTATTTCAACAACAACCATTTAACTGTTTTATTTTTTTCCCTTGTGACTATTTCATTTTTTTCATAATTAATTTTTCTAGTTGGACTGGTGATAAGGCTTTAAGAGAGCTCCAAGAAGCTAACATTTCACAACAGTGCTTTCCAATCCTGCAAAAATGTGCCACAAAGGTATTTTGTTGTAAAATTTGAGTTAGTTTTAATAAGTACCCACAATCTATCTATTAGGAGCGGTAGTTGTCATCGTTATTGTCATTTTTTTTTAATCTCATTTTACCATTTTTTGTTTTTTGCTCAAGGCAATCAAAGCTGCTTCAGAAGCAGAGCCAGAAGTAGCTCATTTAAGTGGCCTGTCGGCAACAACCCTGGAAGGTACTTTAATTGAATCTCCTACAAATCCTATGGTTTTTTTCTTCTTTTCAAATTGGCAAATTCCTGATATAATGAATACCTGTCTATCATGCAGGGTTGTTCTCTTCGCTTAGTTACTTCTTCTCTGGAAATGGGCAGCATATGTTAGATTATCAGCTTGCATTGCGAAGATATGTCAAACGAGATGTTGGTAAGTGGTTAGTGGTGCAGTTTGTTGTTTTTTGGCTTGAATCTATCCCTTTGATAAAATAGCAGAAAAAGAGATCAGCTTAATGGGACAGATATTCTTTTAATTCAGATAACCATGATTAATATCTTTACATTTACCTGAGAGGCTCATATATTCTCAGTAACAACAACGACCAGTTTACCTTTGCATGAAAACAAGAAGATTTCAGCCTTGTTTTATTGGAACACAAGGGGATCTGAGAATTTGCATTTCCATTTTCCAGTCACAAACTTGCTAAATTTAAGCAAGCAAAGAGACTTTGCTAATTCAAAAGCATGTTGTCTTTTTGAACATTTTTGAACATCCACAGAAGGTGAAATTAATTTATGTCTTGTTCTTTCTAAATATACCACCATGTAAGCACTTTAAATGCAATTCCACGCACAGAAAGGGGATAGGGGCTTAAATGCTGGTGGTGATATGATTAGATTAGACAAATTTGGAGGGCTATGATGGTTTCAATAATTTTCCTTTAATAGAACTGCAGCTTATGGCCTCATCTTCGACACAAGCATACAATTGTGGTTATTATCGTGTTTCCTGAGCCATTGTTATTATTCTTCATGGCTCACATAGGCAATGCTGCTGGGGGCTGGACATATACTCTGAGTTTGTGGTGCTTGAATCCAGCTGTTGTTTTCAGAGACATTGCTGATCTTTCTCTGTCAGTGATTCTAACATCAGGGTAAGTGTAGGCACGCACGGGTGTAAAATGCTATCTTTATTGTTACTGACCCTTAATTATTATTGCACAAAGTATGAACACCCCTTCTTGCCTTCCAAGAACTCGTGCACTTTTCTTGTTCAATCTCCTGGGCAAGTGTACCCATTATCCCCTATAAAACTTCCATGAGATCAATGGTTGGTCATTTAGGCATACCTGGATGGTTATGTTCTCAAAAAAACAGTGGAGCAGAACAAGAGAGATTATGAAGAAAAAAATTATAAAAAGAGATTAGGGAGAGAGAGAATAAGAGAGAACTAAGGAAAACAGAGAAGGAACAAGAGGAAGCTGAAGAAAAAGATAGCGGCAGAGGAGAGATGTGTGTGAGAGCAACAGGGGGAGAGAGATCAAATATATACTCTTTCTCAGTGCCAAACCGAACCAGAATTACCTCAAGCCTATATTTTTACAGTCTCCTAGTAATTTACGAAAGCATTTTGCTAAAACTAAGAGTTACATTTAAATTACTAAATGGATAAAGTCCAAAATTGAGTCGAGTTCAATCCATGAACCATCCAATGCCTTTGTAGTCCTTATCAAATTGTCCATCACCTTTTCTAACTCCCGATCATCTATTTGATGGTTACTGCTGTGATCTCTCCAAGCCCCGCCAATTCAGGCATATTTCATCTCCTTTTGATAACATGACACGTTAAATCATGCTACAACTAAGAAAGAGTTCTCTGTTTGTTCCATTCTAGGTTTGCAGTTCATTTACTTTTGTTTATGTTATGTTTTTCTCTTCAGTGCCACACATTTCTTTTAGATGCATACGCAAAATTGTCCTCTGTTTGACTTATCATCCATCTCTTTCTCATAGGACATTATCACCGATGAACTCCTTCTCCTCTGAACTGGGTGTTCAGTTTGGAACTTTTCTGGAAGCTCCACATGTTATAGATGTTGAGTCGCAGGTATGGAAATCATTTTTTATGACATCTGTAATGCTTTTCGGTTGAAGTTATTTTTATTTCTCTTCTTTCTAAGAATTATCTTACCCTTTTACTGCAGCTTTGGGCTGCTGTAATCTCCAGTGGTCATGGTAATTATCCATTAAATGCAAGTTACAAGACAGCTGATGGATATGCTTTCCAGGTATCTTATTGAATTTGTCATTAAGTTTTAATTTACTGGGATAGGGGATTTTTGTCATGGTGTGAATGAGTTGTCATTGAATTCTTTGTGAAGGATGCACTCGGCATATCTATAGAAGAAATTTGTAAGTTAGTTCCCGGTGGCTGTCTAGTATTCTTTCCCAGCTATAAGTTGATGGAGAAACTGGGCACTCGTTGGCGAGAAACAGGTCAATGGGCTCGACTAAATGCACAAAAATCCCTCTTTGTTGGTATGCCTTTTTCCTGCCCCCTTTTCTCGCCTGTAAATATTCATTTAACCATTGTTTTCAAAGATCATCTGTCCTGTTCATTTAGTTAGTGCTTTTATGGATGCTTTAACTCACTTGATCTTGCTTGCCTTGTATATCTTTAGCCAATGATGCTATGGTGTCTTTAATGTTTCTTCTTCTCTTCAATGGAGAATGCTAATACTTCTTGTCTTTTGTCTAGAGCCAAGAGGAGGAAGCCAGGATGATTTTGATTCTGTTTTGAAGGGTTATTACAATTCACTTCGTCAAGGCAACAAACCTGTCATATGCAGAAAAAGAAGGGGTAAAAAGTCAGATCTTAATAACCAAAATGCTACCGAATGCACAGGAAAATCTAAGAAAGAAGGAGCTGCTTTCCTTGCAGTTTGTCGAGGAAAGGTATATTAAAATGAACTCATCCAGAATTTGTCTCTCACTATATATACAAGAGTAGCCACTTTGTGCAAATAATGTCAAAGTTCAGGTTTGTACTCAGTCCACCCTGCCGCTCCCCAAAGTAATGGGGACTAAATTGGCTAAGTACCTTTTACTATATATCTTGAAACCAATCACATCCATTGAGAAACATAAATAGGCAAACATTTTTCGTTTTTTGTCAAAGAAGTCAAATCATTTAATTGTTTTTGTTTGGACTTTACCACTCTAAAGCTATTGGTTCTTAGTAAATAGTGGCATGCACTGACTGAATGTTGGAGCGGCTCTAATGATGTTCAAATCAGTTCAAACTTTGATGTGTAAAAGTGATAGTCCATTCTGTCAATATTATGCTCTTGCTTTCTATCGACACAAATTCTAACTTTACCTCTGGTCCATGTGGTGTGTTGTTTTGAACTTAAATGATCATCTCTTAATTGATAACTGCTTCAGGCCTTGTCCATTCAGATGCTTTAACAAAGGCTTTTCAAAACATCCTTTGGATGCACATATCTTAATAAGATAGCACAAAACCTCTGCTTTGATTGTCCTGATATTGATCCGGAATGTGATTTGAGAACATGACTTTTGGTTTCATATCAATGATGCAATGCAATTTTTTTGCAGGTTTCAGAAGGAATTGATTTCTCTGATGATAATGCCCGAGTAGTTGTATCCTTTTCTATCTTCTTAGTTTTGGGTGCAACTTCAGTCTGTTGAACTTTCCTGCTAGAGTGGGCTGAAAGAGATTATTCTCTTCATGCATATTGAGTTCATGTTGGTAGCTGGTGAATGAGGAGACTCGACTTTTGTTTTGTGTTCTAGTAACCAAAATTTATTTGTATGTTACTCAACTAAAAACATGCTCATGCTTTACTGATTTCCTTGGATTAAAAGGTTGTTGACTATCATGTGTTATTGTGTTATATCTTAACTCCCTCAGATAGTTGTTGGCATTCCCTTTCCAAATATGTAAGCATTCTTGTTTCCCCAGATTTTTTAAATAAATTATCTAACCGTGCAAGTCATACCTTTTGGATTGATCTTCTTTGTCATCAGAAAAGACATTCAAGTGGCACAAAAGAAGAAATTTAATGACACATATAGATCATCAAAAAATCTTTTAAGTGGGAATGAATGGTACTGTCAGCAAGCCTTTCGAGCTCTTAATCAGGCTGCTGGTACGTCCTGTCCATTTCGCCTCCAATACCTTAGTTTGCTGATGTTAGATATTCTATTGCTTGTTGTATATATTTCTCAGTCATCATATGATGCATTAATGAATACCGTTTAGGTTCTTGCATGTTCATATTTGTGTTGCATGTTCATCCACTTCGTGTGACATTATAGTCTCTAGCCTACTATGTTATTTGTCTACCATTTTATAATGCACTGAACATGTAGCTTTTTGTCAATTCTTATGTTTATTTGTTATAATGTGTTTTCCTATTTTATTGGGTACCTTAATCCAGGTTTCCTCTCCCTCTTTCTGCATCTCTATCCTTCCTTTTGTTTCTTGTTGCTTGTTTTTTTTTCGTCGGGGGGGAAGAGTGGGGACAGGCGGATGTATGCCATCTTCACATATCCCAATTTTGGGAGGAGATTCAACGAGATGCATCTGGACAGTTTTTGATGGTCATCAAATTATTTTTATATTCTAAAGGATAATCTCATATGAAAATTATAAGAAGCCTAATAACCAAAAGAAAGCCTAGAACATGAACTGGGCACAGACAATAACCTTAGACTGTAATAATTAATAAAGGTTAATTATCGGACATGAAATAGTAAAAATGTAAAATGAAGAACCAAGATGAGTGGAAGTAGTCTTAAAGTAACGTTGTTATCCTTGTTTTTTTGATGCCTTCAACATGAATAGATCACTTCTCCAAGTTAAAGGTTTATTTACGTTTATACTGCTTCTAAAACCAATAAATCCATGCCATTTGTAGATATGATGAACCGTGTTCACTTGATATAAATCAGTGAATGTGTGCAGTATGGTCGTTTTCCACTCTTGCTTTGTAGAATTGCCTTGCCAGCTCGGTGAACTTAGCCTTGCAATTACATTTACGTACCACGTAGTTGTTAAATCATGTATCGGAAGACTTATCGTTTTTTAAAAATAGTNGACTTTTGTTTTGTGTTCTAGTAACCAAAATTTATTTGTATGTTACTCAACTAAAAACATGCTCATGCTTTACTGATTTCCTTGGATTAAAAGGTTGTTGACTATCATGTGTTATTGTGTTATATCTTAACTCCCTCAGATAGTTGTTGGCATTCCCTTTCCAAATATGTAAGCATTCTTGTTTCCCCAGATTTTTTAAATAAATTATCTAACCGTGCAAGTCATACCTTTTGGATTGATCTTCTTTGTCATCAGAAAAGACATTCAAGTGGCACAAAAGAAGAAATTTAATGACACATATAGATCATCAAAAAATCTTTTAAGTGGGAATGAATGGTACTGTCAGCAAGCCTTTCGAGCTCTTAATCAGGCTGCTGGTACGTCCTGTCCATTTCGCCTCCAATACCTTAGTTTGCTGATGTTAGATATTCTATTGCTTGTTGTATATATTTCTCAGTCATCATATGATGCATTAATGAATACCGTTTAGGTTCTTGCATGTTCATATTTGTGTTGCATGTTCATCCACTTCGTGTGACATTATAGTCTCTAGCCTACTATGTTATTTGTCTACCATTTTATAATGCACTGAACATGTAGCTTTTTGTCAATTCTTATGTTTATTTGTTATAATGTGTTTTCCTATTTTATTGGGTACCTTAATCCAGGTTTCCTCTCCCTCTTTCTGCATCTCTATCCTTCCTTTTGTTTCTTGTTGCTTGTTTTTTTTTCGTCGGGGGGGAAGAGTGGGGACAGGCGGATGTATGCCATCTTCACATATCCCAATTTTGGGAGGAGATTCAACGAGATGCATCTGGACAGTTTTTGATGGTCATCAAATTATTTTTATATTCTAAAGGATAATCTCATATGAAAATTATAAGAAGCCTAATAACCAAAAGAAAGCCTAGAACATGAACTGGGCACAGACAATAACCTTAGACTGTAATAATTAATAAAGGTTAATTATCGGACATGAAATAGTAAAAATGTAAAATGAAGAACCAAGATGAGTGGAAGTAGTCTTAAAGTAACGTTGTTATCCTTGTTTTTTTGATGCCTTCAACATGAATAGATCACTTCTCCAAGTTAAAGGTTTATTTACGTTTATACTGCTTCTAAAACCAATAAATCCATGCCATTTGTAGATATGATGAACCGTGTTCACTTGATATAAATCAGTGAATGTGTGCAGTATGGTCGTTTTCCACTCTTGCTTTGTAGAATTGCCTTGCCAGCTCGGTGAACTTAGCCTTGCAATTACATTTACGTACCACGTAGTTGTTAAATCATGTATCGGAAGACTTATCGTTTTTTAAAAATAGTGTATCGTAAGATATGCGTAATTTTAATTTTTAAATAATTATTAATAAAATATATGTATATACCTTTATAAAAAAGTCATAGATTCTTTTTTTTTTTTTGCTCATGTGTCATAGATTCATAATAACATAATTTTTCATTAATATTCTACCAACTATTTCAGTTTCCAACATAGTTTAGTAATATCAAAATGCAAAGACCTTTAATTCAAACTTCTAACATCAACTGTTTTAACAACTTTAATATTAATCAGGAGTTTTGAATTTAATTGAACAATATTAACATTAAACTTTATTTATTTTTTTTAAACTATAACCATTGAAACGATGTTGTTTCACTAGTTAGTGATTTAAAAATAAGTCTTAGGGTAAAACGATGTCATTTCAACCTCAAAAAACAAAAAAATAAAAATAAAAAAACAGAATTGTCACGTATCGGGTGTATCGTGTGGTATGTATTGTATTGTGTACGATACGGTGCAAAAACAATATAGAGACAGGATACGTATCGTTTTTCAGGTGTATCGTGACGTATGTACGATACTAATAACTATGACGTACCAAACTTCAGTGCAACTTTGTATCTCACATTGCCTACTATAGATATCCCAAAACTATTGCCTGTTTTGAAAAGTAAATGAAAAGTGATTGCAATAATTTGAAAGTTGAAAAGTTCAAACCATAGACAAGGCCAGAGTATAGGTGAGGGTGGAAATGAAAATGTTTACCCAGTAGATGTGATTGCATTAGATGTGCTTTTTGAAGGTGAAATAGCTATAAGGACAGCAGGAGTATATGTTTAAGACCATGACTCTTGACATGAAATTCATTGTCTTGCTAGTAGAAGCTCATTCGTCGATAGAGCACAATAGCACATGATGTGTGTGGCAACTTACAGGTGCATTTTGATCATCATGTTGATCTTCTCCACCCTCCACCTAAAACTAAATTCAGTGCGCTTCTCTTCTGTGGTGTGTAAACTAGTTTTTGTGAGAGTTGGCAAATCTCAAGAAATTTAGAGTTTCAGTTTGATGAGGATAGGAAGGGACAGGAAGGGAAGTAAGGCCGAGGAGGTCCAAAATAAAGAAGAGGAGTCTTGGAGGAGGGAAGTAAACAGTGATGATGTTAAATGTATTATGGCGGGCATATCTTTCCCACCCCCTTTCCATGTATCTGCAAAAACAGTCTTCAACTCTCCATTTACAAGTCTAGTTTATTTATATGGAGTTAGAGGCTCTGATTGCTTTTTCCTTTTGCTATCATCTAACAAGTATATTTGTCGCTGAAAACTTTGATTACTTACACTAAGATGGACCAGTTATGTGTCTTCGGTTTTATTTAGGGGCTGGTTTTGAGCTTTGTGGCTGGGTTAACTTGCAATGTAAGCCAATTCAAAAATCTCTCATTGTACAATTGTCCATTTTTAAACAAGGGAGCATAATGCCAAAGAGACTAGCCGGAATTTTTATAAAAACATTTGAACCGATCTAAATCTGTCAAGGGCCAGTTGTTCAGTTGCAGTTCTATTAACCTAATTGGGATAAAACAGGGTTGGATTTGGTCTAAGTTTCAAGTCCAAGCTCTTAACAGATTTCATTTGTTTAGTTCTAAATTTGACATGTGTGTTGCATTCGTGAACCTTTTTCCTTTGGGCACAAACAACGTCAGTTTTGTTTATATGCTATCTATGAAACTCTTTTTGCTTTGCAGTGCACGTACACAAATATCTTGTCTTTTGACTCTATGTGATCAACTATGGTTTTAGGCTGGAATTTCTTCAAATTCTCGAGATATTTGATGTTAATGCCTGCTGGGTTTTTCTGTAGGCCGTTGCATACGCCATAGGTTTGACTATGGAGCCATCATCTTATTAGGTATTTAAATATTTATTATTTTTCCTTCTGTCTTAATTTTCAATATTATGTTCATATTTCATACATGTCTGACAACAAGGAGGAGTTACAAATAAGTGGTTTTACATCAGTTGTTTTGGATTACAAGAAAAGAAGAAACCACTCGGTTGATATGTAATGAGCTTGAGATCCACTGAGACAATTCTTAATCACTAAAAAGGGAACCATATTAGACTAGACACATTGGACATTGCTGTAGAACTCTAGTTTGAGATTGCTCAACTTTAAACTCTAGCATTATTATTTGAAAAGAAAGCATTTTTATTTTTTCTTTTAAATTTGTGATAATTTTTAGGGCGAAAGTTGTTCTGTGGGTCAGAATTTCTTTTATTTTACAATTCTCCACTGTACTTTTTTTTATATTCTTGTCATTGATTTTTGATCATTTGGTGAGCAGATGAACGCTTCCGTGAAGAAAGGAATGTTGCGTGCATTTCAAAGTGGTTGCGGAAATCGATTAGACAGTATGACAGCTTTGACGAATCACTAGAGGGATTAAAGTCCTTTTTCATAGATGTCAAGGTCCTTTGCAGATCATTCTTTTTGCTCTAATTTTCAATTTATTTTTGATTCATAATTATTCTTTTCATTTCTGGGTCAGTTTGAAAAATTTTGATGGGTGGTTGCTGAATCTTAACTTATGCAGGAACGGGTTAGCAAGACTGCTAATAATTTACAAAGTCCTTGTGTCAATATAGAAGAGATTCCTTCTGTTGATCCAAGCAAACCAAGAAAGAAAAACCAGAAAGCAAACAAGTCCAGTCTGTTTAGAGAGAAACTAGAACCAAACAGTAGCCCGACTATTGAAAAACCTGGCCCAATTTGTCACCCTCTACCTGTTGTCACAAAGTATAATTCCTCTTTTACTCAAACAGATTCTGAAGTTCAAGCATTGGTGTCAACAAATGAGAAACATATTGGTGGCTGCGTAGAATTCACGGGCCTAGAATGTGATTTCGAGAAACAATCCAGGTAAATGTCAAGGTCCTTAATATACTATACTTAATGACTGTCTCTAGCTGCTTTCACAAAGGATCAGCTAGGGTTGGGGGGGAATCTGGGTTATGGTAAAGACTTTGGCTTAAAATGCTGTAACAATAACAGCACATGGATGATGACCTGATGATTATATGGATTTCTGAATTTCGAATGTTAATATACAATGATTGTTGCCTTGCAAAAGACCCCACAGGAATCTGTTGAGTATTTGGTTTTCTGTTTTGCTTATACATTTCTATGTAATTACTTTGTCAAATAAAACTCTATTTTTTACTTCGCAATTCTTGCCAATGTTATGGAGTACTTTTACCCTCTTCATCAATCAACTGTTGAACATATAATTTCATCGGATGATAATAGCATCTTTATGCAGGGGCTCTTGGACTCCATCCATGTCAGTCTCTCCTGATGATCCTGATGTATATATTGTCAAAGAAACCCCTGGTATAAGTGGTACTTTCCGTGAAGCTACTCATCAATCCTTCACCAAGGATGAATACTCCAGTTCGACCATAATCCAAGCGTCTACTGATTTTCCAGGCCAGTTGTTATTACACCCTCAGTTTCCATATTCAAGTGTGGCTCCTGAATCCATGTATTCATTGGAGGTCACTCCTGAAAAGGATATGACTGCAAACACGAACAGCCTTGTTCCTGATATAGAGTCATCAATAAATTTAAGTGTCAACTCCCATACTCAGAAAAGGAGAAAGTCTTCGGGTTCATCTTTAGTCGACCTTCTCGATGCAGAACAGTTTGACACTCCTGATGCCGCAACATCATGTTGTGTCAGTACTGTGGCAAGCTCAGCCACAACTACAGTTGCGAATCGCAGAATTAACTTTGCTCATAAGACTAATTGTTCAGAAAATGAATGCAAGAGGTCCAATTTTCCTCATTCTCTCACATTCAGTGATCATAATGGGTCATGTGTGTCTTCTGGTCTTGTTATGGACATGAGACTACATATCTGTTGTTCATTCTGCAAAATTCCATTAGGTCTTCCTGAGAACAATCTATGTGTTTTGTGCTTATCAACAACTTCATCAAAAATTCACTTGGCATCTCTCTGGAAATTGACATCAGAACCTCGAGCCATGAATATATCAAGCATACCTGTCTTGGTATCTGACATATCATCAGTTGATCAGCGACTATGTAACAGAAGTTCAAGTGGGGCTTCAGGAGAGGGAATTTGGTGCGAAGAAGATGGCTGTGTATTCAGTACTGTTTTCTGCCCCTTCTGCAGTAATCCCAATAATTGTCTTGGCGTACAGGTGATGGCCACTGATGCATCAAACGTACAGTTACTCAACAAGGTACGGTGTATTCAGCTATGTTACATTTTGTTTATTATCAAACTGCAGTAGTAATAATCAATTGTGGCTGGAACAGATCTGGCAACTTCTTGCTGATTTATGTATTTTTATCAAATGTCTTGTTTTACATGCAGATACTGTTTTATTCCAATCGTTTGGAGATTAAGAATGTTGATGCATCAAAGGACAAGGTAAATTTATGAGGATTTTAATTTTGTCACAAGGTTAATAAAAGGAGCAAGAGGAAAGGTGTAATATTTGCCAAAAAAAACTGGAATCAATTGCTGTTCATTTTGACCACCATCAATTCACACACAAAACCTTCAGCATGCTAGCTTTAGTGGTATATCCTACCCACCCTTAATGGGGAAGTTGTCGGATTCAAGTCTTAATTGGACATAGGTGCATGTGCATTATATGATGGTTGACATACTCGTAGGACAGTATTTATTTCTTTATCTCTTGAATTATAAAAATGTTCCTGTAGAGAGAAATTTGCATTGGAGCAAATGTTAATCAATATCAAATTTTTTTTTTTTTAAGCTGTAGGATAAAAGTAATAGGCATTGACCAGCCAGTTCATTTTCTACCATCTAGATACCTTATTCACTAGTCATCTCATATCAGAATCCAGAACTGATAAGCTTAATTTTGTCCGTTGTAGGATCTATCGCCATCTAGTGGTTCTTACATTGGTGAAAGAGGAGTTCTAAATCCCATTGAGAAATTCTCATACTTTCCCCCACAGAAGAGCTTGGGAGGGTGGAAGACTACAAAATCAAATGTTAGACTCAGAAAGCTTTGAGATCTTAGGGTGATCCATTTTAGGTGCAAAGTAACATCTTGAGTCTTGCAGATGCGACTGCCAAAGAGGGGGCTTTCCACTGCATATGGACAGCCCTAACGAAGCCAAAAAGTCCTCTCCTCTCATGGCCAAAGGCTCTGCAACACATTGGAGAGCTTTTAGATCCCGGTCTCAAACACTCTCGATCCCAAGTGATCCTCACTGTTACTGCCTTAATAGATGTGACCTTTGTGCAATCAAAAGAAAAGCTAAAGACGTGACAACTGATCCATGTTAAAGGCAAGAGGCTGTCCAGCTCGATGCGATACTAAATAAAGGAATAGATGTGACCTTTGTGGATATCTATTTTTGTTGTATTTGATAACATAGGAGAAGAGAGTATGCTTCTTGGGACTGATTGGAAGTTAGGGTAAGATGTAGAGGTTCTCCAACAAACATGCAGTTTAAGGTTGAAGAAAGGATGGCCACTGTAAGAAGTGTGGAGTAACTCCTCTTTCAGTGGTGCTGATACGAGTTTTGTTGCTGTTACATGTTGGATCACAAACCACTGCTTCCCGGAGAGAGACTTGTTGCAGTGTACTGTAACCAGATGAAATAGTACTTGATCAGCAATCTGTCACCTGTTCCCTCTGGGTCTTAACCCAATGAGATACCAATTAACAAGTCAATCAGCTATCTGGTGTCTTGGTTTTCTACTTCAAGGTGAGCCAGAACTGAATGTCTATCAGGGCATTTCTTGTGATCATTCTCTGGTCTAACTAGGTATCAGTCTCTGAGGGCAATGGCAGTTTGGTAGGGCAGCTGCAGGTTTCAAGCTACAGCTGAGCTGTTATGTGCGAAGTGTTTCACTACTTGGAACCAGAACTTATGCATTTGATACATAAAGTGTTACCTCAGTGTTTGTGAGATGCGAAAATTTTAGCGTTTTTGGAACAATATTTTCTTATGTATGCAGTGATACTTCTTCATCAACAATCATGTGCAGTGATACTTCTTTATATCAGTTAGGACTGTATCCTAGACGTCCAAAAGAGTTGCAATATGCCAGTATTTGGACGAGGCAAATAGCAATGATGTATTGGTGNGCCAAAGAGGGGGCTTTCCACTGCATATGGACAGCCCTAACGAAGCCAAAAAGTCCTCTCCTCTCATGGCCAAAGGCTCTGCAACACATTGGAGAGCTTTTAGATCCCGGTCTCAAACACTCTCGATCCCAAGTGATCCTCACTGTTACTGCCTTAATAGATGTGACCTTTGTGCAATCAAAAGAAAAGCTAAAGACGTGACAACTGATCCATGTTAAAGGCAAGAGGCTGTCCAGCTCGATGCGATACTAAATAAAGGAATAGATGTGACCTTTGTGGATATCTATTTTTGTTGTATTTGATAACATAGGAGAAGAGAGTATGCTTCTTGGGACTGATTGGAAGTTAGGGTAAGATGTAGAGGTTCTCCAACAAACATGCAGTTTAAGGTTGAAGAAAGGATGGCCACTGTAAGAAGTGTGGAGTAACTCCTCTTTCAGTGGTGCTGATACGAGTTTTGTTGCTGTTACATGTTGGATCACAAACCACTGCTTCCCGGAGAGAGACTTGTTGCAGTGTACTGTAACCAGATGAAATAGTACTTGATCAGCAATCTGTCACCTGTTCCCTCTGGGTCTTAACCCAATGAGATACCAATTAACAAGTCAATCAGCTATCTGGTGTCTTGGTTTTCTACTTCAAGGTGAGCCAGAACTGAATGTCTATCAGGGCATTTCTTGTGATCATTCTCTGGTCTAACTAGGTATCAGTCTCTGAGGGCAATGGCAGTTTGGTAGGGCAGCTGCAGGTTTCAAGCTACAGCTGAGCTGTTATGTGCGAAGTGTTTCACTACTTGGAACCAGAACTTATGCATTTGATACATAAAGTGTTACCTCAGTGTTTGTGAGATGCGAAAATTTTAGCGTTTTTGGAACAATATTTTCTTATGTATGCAGTGATACTTCTTCATCAACAATCATGTGCAGTGATACTTCTTTATATCAGTTAGGACTGTATCCTAGACGTCCAAAAGAGTTGCAATATGCCAGTATTTGGACGAGGCAAATAGCAATGATGTATTGGTGAAGCATCGTCACACGTTTATTTTATGAGAAATGCTATATATAGTTTTTTTTTTTTGGTATGTAATTGTTTACCTGGTAAGATCCTTTAATTTAGTGATACAAAAATGTTGACAGGAAAGAGTGCGACATCAACATTCTGGTAATTTGATACTTCATTGAAAAACACTTTTGAGTCCATTTAATCCTTGAAATATGTAAAATAAAGGAACCATGGCCTACCTACGCATCCAATGGAGAGAAAAGAAAGAAATATTGACTCAGAAAGGTAACGGAGAACTTGGAGTTCTGCATGAAACCAGCAAAATAAAGTGTAAATATTGAATGTAACGGTTGCACTTAATATTTGTTTGTTTATTATTGGGTAGTTTAGTTACACCGCGTGATAATACCGATATGTTACACCCACCATTTACTCCAAAACAAGCAAGATGGACACTAAATGAGGGAAAAAGTAAAACCTTGCAAAAATTAAAACTCACTATGCTTATTTTGCAAGTCTCCTTAAGTTGCTAGAATGTCAGTTCCTTGGGATTGAAATCTGAGGCTTATATTCCTTAACGTTATCAAACTACCAACCCTAATTTTACTGTATAAATTTCATTGGTCGTGGTTATGCCAAAATCCAAGGGTTTTAGCCCTGGGGGGTATGGCCCGCAGTTCCCTAGCAGGAGGAGGGCGAGGGTTTAAACCCCAGTAGAGGCATGTTTCGGCCCCCAGCCAAGTACTCATATGCCATAGAACCAAAAAAGAGTAGTAGCATCATCCAAGGATGTCATATCCTCCCCCATGCTGATGAGAAATAAAGCTTCCAGGAAGGTCCATGCTATCCATCAGCTGCTCAGTTCCTGCATACACAACCAATGACATCAAGAACATTGGATGGCTTGAAGATTTCAAACACCTCACAAGGCATAAATAGATACTCATGTACGTCTGTGGATGTGGGGGGAAGGAGAGGGGGGAGGGGGGAGCGTGGTCATAGATACATATGATCTTAAAGCAACAGAGAAAACAATTGACCACATACTTGGAGCACCCTCGTGTAAATCTGAATAACCCAAACTGCCAGATGATTTTAAACCATGATCAGATTGAAACACAGGCTTCTCTTTATTGGACTTTGTCTCCAAATAACTCAAACTGCCAGAATCCTGGAAATTTACATTTTCAGGCCCTGGTGCTAGGTTGTCATGGGATTTGGTTCTTTCTGGTTCTGTCGTCTTCTCCTTTGAGGACTCGACTTCTGCATTGTTTGGTGCCACAACTAATAGCTTCCTTTTTGATCGAGCCCTCCTGTTCTGGAACCAGTTATAAACATTTGCTTCAGAAATCTGGCCATGTTGCGACAGCTCGGTGGTTATCTCTTGAATCTTTTCCTTCCTTGGAATACTATTGTCCTCATCAAAGATATGCTCGAGAATATGAAGCTGCAGAGGTGTTGGTGTCCATCGATTCCTGGCCGAGATATTGTGGCCAGCATATGATACCAATGGATCACAGTACAGATTTCCCAGCTTCATTCCTAAAACAGAAAAGAGAAGGATTGACTTTAGAGGCAAAATCAGAGTCTTCACTAATCAGTACTAAACCTGTTGTGTCTCATATAAATTTTAAGCAGACTTAATTATGTACCAAAGGACAGTACTACATAAAGGTTAAACCAGTGGCATAAATAAACAAATCGATCACACGAGCACAAAGAAGACAACGATCAGAACTATGACATTTTACTTCTGCGGAAATGTCTCAAACTCCATTTTGACTCTATTAATGTTTCAATATATGTTTAATCTCCTTAAAGTCTGAACAAATAACCAGAAGTGGAAACAAAGTTCCAATAATTCAACAATGGGAAGATAAAATCTCAACTCAACTCACCAAAGTTGTCCCACCCAACTATTGGGGTTGTTTCACCATTATATTTTATCGAGGACCATATTTTCTAGCAATACACTCATTATCCTTTTTTAGTATCTCAGTTAAAGTTAATTCTCCTGTGCAACCTGTTCTTGACAAAAGAAATTGAGACGGGTATAAGTCAAATGTATACGGAATTATCTAACATATACAACACAGTAAAACTGAACATACATCCGTTCAAAGTATATTTGAAGAAAAAGGAGAAACTACTAAACCCAGGTTACCCAACTATGAATCAACAGATCAAGAGAGTCGGCGACAGTCTGTTATGCTTGATTCAATTGAAAAAAGTCAGGCATTCAAGCGTCAGAGCAGCCTGCAACCAAGTGTCAGGATAGAAGAAACTGCAGTTTGCAATAATTGCCTTCCCCACATTGTGCTCCATCCTAATTCCTACATCAATTAACTCCCCCCAAAAAAGCCAAATTTATTAAACAAACGGTCAGAGAGAGAGAGGGGGCTGGACAATGAACTTTATAAGACAATAAACTTCAAATAAACCACAAATACCAAGAGAAGTAAGAAAATATGCATTCTCTACGAACCCATTTAACAAAGCAACCCCATGAAAATACCACAAATTACAAGAAGCAGAAAATTAATAACAAGAACAAGAGATTCTCATCCATTACCCACAAAATTGACATAACTCATAGAAAATTAAAAGAAAATAAACTTCGAAAAAAGACCAAAAGCATAATCGACAAAAAAGTGAAATAGCCAATGTTCAAAAACAATCGAGCACCCATTATCGTACCCTAACAACTTTAACTAATTAAATTTAACCAAACCTAAATTCAACTACTAATGCATCACAAGGAATCAAGTTCTGGAGAGAGACAGAGAGAGAGAACCAGCAAAATCCTGCTGAGTACTGACGGCTTTGTGCATATCTACAAGTTGCTCACATAAGGTCGCATAGACTGAGATCTGTCGCCTTAAAAGCTCCATCTGTTCATCCGTCATCACTTGGACGTACATCCTGTCGCCGCCACCACCGCTGCCACCGTTCTGGTAATTCTGTTGATCAGGGTGAAATTGTTGTTCCAATTGCTTGTTCCACTCCATCATTAATCTCACTACCTCAGCTGTTTCTTCCACGAGTTCACATCTTTGTATAGGGCTTAGTGACCGACTAAGTACTAACTGGACTTGCGCGAATTCATCAACAGAGAGAGAGAGAAAGAGACAGAGTAACAGCGTTTTGCACGACCGGCATAATGTAGCAGAGGGCGTGATGACATGTCATGAGATGTGCAATAAATTCAACTACCCCCTTCTAATTTACTATATTTTAAAGGACGCTACTTTTATTATTTAAAACATCATTAACACCCTTTCTAATTTATATTTAAATATCATTGACACCTCTGCCACTAAACCATAATTTCTAACAAAAACAAAACCATCTAAAATATCAAAATTGTCCCTATATAAATCCCAAATAATTTTTCTACATAAAATTTAAGTAGATTAAATTTATTTTTTTACATATTAAAATTTGAGTTGATTAAAATTTATTTTTCTACATATTAAAGTTTGAGTCGATTAAAATTCGATTCGAGATGATTAAATTTTTTTTTTTAAAGTATCAAAATTTGAGCCTATTAAAATTAATTTTTTACGGATTAAAATTCAAACCAATTTGAGTTTTACTTGAGTTAATAGCGCCAATTAAAATTCAATTCGATTCGATTAAAATTTATATTTTTTTTACTTATTAAAATTCGATTCAAATTAATTAAAATTTATTTTTTACGTATTAAAATTTGAGTTGATTAAAAATTATTTTTTTACGCATTAATCGACTCAAATTTTGATACATAAAAAACTATAAATTTTAATCATCTTAAATTGAATTTTATTTAGCCTAAATTTTAATATGTAAAAAAAAATTAAAAAATAGAGGAAGTCTCATTAAAAATATGCCTATTTAGAGGAATACAAATAAAATTTTTCTTAAAATATATCATGAACCTTTCATATGATAGAGAGTGTTGGTGGATATTCATAAGATATAGGAAGTGTCCTTAAAAAATTGATAAACTATCAAGAATGAGATTGAAATTTTCCACCAAAAAAAAAAAAGTGCAATACAATACATGGACTTGAGTGCTGTACCAAAAAAAAATCTCTCTAAAATTTATTATTTTAAAAGATACTTTTATAATTATGGGTTATTTTATAATTAAAAAATTTATTATTTTTATAGGTGATTTATCACTTTTGTGGTAATTATTTTTATTCAATACAAAAAAAAATATTATTTTTATGAATAATTTTTTTTTTACACCACAGTAATAATAAAAACACTCATAAGTATAATAAAAACACCACAAATATAATAAATTTCAGGTACCGAAATTTTGTTTTTGAGTACCGTAGGCAAATCCACAATAAAATACAATACAATACACAGATAGCTTATCCTTCCAAAATACATATTCAACCTCAGACAAGTGTGATTTATATTGATCGTCTCTCTAACGACCTTGACTTCTCTACTCGGATGGAAATTCAAGCCATGATTACAGCTCATGCAATTTATTAGTCTAATAATTAATTTTTTTTTGAACAATAGTCTAATAATTATTTGGTAATGGTTTATATATCTAAATAAAATTCTCCATTTCATTTGTTCATGCCTGTGTTATTGAACATGATTTTTTTTTTGTTATATATATATATATATATATATATATATATACTAGTTATTACATGTGTTTGAAGACACATAGTAATAAAAAATGGTAAACAATAAATATATTTATATTTATATCCAAAATTAAATCATAAATATAGAGAAGAGATAAAAGAATTTAAACATCAATTTATAGTGGAGGTGAGAGGTGGTGGGCGATAATAATGGTGGTAGGAGACAGTGATAGTTTTGGTGGCAACAGCGATGGTGGTGGCGGCGGAGATGAGGGTGTAAAACCCGATAAAAAAAAATATATATATATTATTAATCCTAAAAAAAAAATAAAAGGATAAAATAATAATTAATTGTTAAATTATGGGTCAAAAACGTAAATTTAAAAAAAAATAATATATATATATATATATATATATATATGNAGACCTAAAACTTAGGAAGCTAAATTTGGGCTTCCTTGACGTTCTTGTAAGTGGTCTCACGCTACGAGAGGTAGAGTTTTCCCTATTTAGATTTAATTTCAACTTAAAATATGACATATAGAATGAGTAGATTATGAGTGTATATCACATGTTAGGTCTTGACTAGTGGGTCAAATATAGAATTTATAATTAATCTTGTGATTAATAAAATTCTATTGTGATTAACTTGGTATAAGTTAATGTTAGTAGTTTAAAGCATGTTAATTGTATGTTAGCATTACTTTATATTTTAATGGAAGATCAAGTTTAATAAAATTATTAACTTGTTATATGATTGTGAAATAATATATATATGTTAAATGATTATTTAACATATGATTATTTTGGTGGACTTTGTGCTTATGTTAAACATGTTATCATGTTGCAAGTCATAGCATGCTAGTTGTGTAAATTGATGTGCTCTTTAGGTGTTTGATTAAATGCCTAGGTGAATACAAGTATGTTAGTTGAGTTGATTATCTTACATAACATGCTTGAGATCATGTTAAAATGTCATTACATTGTATTTCATTATGCATGTGTTGCACTACATTCATGGGCATTGACATGGGTGAGAGTGTATGCATGGTATGAAATCAATCACCACGTAGGTGGTTGAACGTGGACTCGGAAAAGTCGCACCAAGGTTCGGTTGAGTCGCACGAGAAATTAAATGGATAAATGTGTTGGGGACAGCACGAAGGGCTAGATTCTCCCTCGGGTGCAAGACCCGCTTACTTGGTTTATACACTTTCCGGCGGTGAAATTCCAAAAAAGTGTAACGGCGGAAACGGAGCCGCAGGTGGGATGTCCTGAAGATCCGTTGATGGTTGGTGTCCCATTGGTGTAATACCATAAATCATCTCCCCACAAAGACACAAGAAAATGAATTAATTAGCATTGAGTGTACATAACACCAATGATGGGGGCTTGGAATGCTCGGATACATACGCATGACATTGCATGTGTTATGGGAGCTCAGGATGGGGCTCGGGGTTGGTATTGCTTGCGTGAGTCTCATCTCATGGCATGACATGACCTATAACATTCAATCATAATAGACATATTTAAATGAATGTATCAAATGATTGTTGCATGTGACATTCCATATTCATTTAGGTTGAGAGGTATTCTCTATAGGAGTTACCCTATTGAGCGTTAGCTCACCCTTTATGGGAACATTTTTCAGGTATCGCACAGGCTTCCACCGAAGGCGAGGCCATGGGCCCGCTTTGACGACAGAGCCGGTCTGTGGCTTTTCTTTTGACATTGTAGTCCCTTGTTTATACTTACTTTTGGCCTTGTATAATTTTTGTAACAAACATTGTTTATATTTACAAAGGCATGTATATGGGACTCTTTTGGGACATTTATTCTTTTACGAATAAATGTATGTACTGATAATGATTATGGTAGTATTCGAGACTATATAATTGTGAATGGATAGATAGACCCGGTGTGGTCAATGTTGTACAGGTTGCGTTTTGAGTAGAGCTCCTTGTACAAAGGAGACTCTGTCCAAATTTTGTTAAGTTATGGATCCCAAGAAATGGGGCATAACGGTGTGGTATCAAATTACACGATATCCACCAGTATTACACAGGTCGATGGATAACCAATCGGATAATTACAGACACCCGGACTTTGGGGTGTCACAGAGGGTGGTGGCGATTGTGATGGTGACGGTGGTGGGGTTGGTGGCGGCAATGACAGTGGCGGTGACGGCGACGATGGTGGTGATAGATGTAGTAGTGGGGCGGTTTTAAACACTATTTATTTTTAAAGTATTTATAAGAAATAATTTCTAAAAGTACTTTTAAAAAGTCACTCAAAATACACCCTTAAAGACCCATTTTTCATATTAAATTTAGAGTGTTAATATTAATCATTAGATTAATTTTAAAATAAAAATAAAGTGATCTCAACCGCGAATAACAAAAGTCATTTTGTTTATCTTTTGAGATTTGAATGATAAGCTACTTTATTATATAGATATGTTTGTTAGAAAAATTTCAGTCACATTCTTTCTAGTTTATAATATTTTTAAGGACATTCTTTCTTTTTTTGAATCTTTACTGACACCCTATTTCGAACTAAAGGTCTTAATTAGAATACAATTTTATTAAACTGTCTTTCATATATTTTAGGAAAAACTCCATGCACATCCCCTCCAGATACATATATCTTCAATGAAACCCCTTATGTTTTATGAATTTTTGTACGTATTAAAAATTCAAGCAAAATAAAATTTGATTTGAGCCGATTAAAATTCGTTTTTAATTAACTCGAATTAAATTTTAATCAACTCACATTAATTTTTAATTGGCCTAAACATAAAAAAATGTATTTTAATTAACTTGAATCAAATTTTAATAAATAAAAAAATATAAATTTTAATTGGCGCTAACAGTTCAAGTTGAGTTCAAATCAAATCGATTTTTAATTTATAAAAAAAGAATTTTAATAAACTCAAATTTTAATACTTAAAAAATAAAATTTAATATTTTTATGTAAGTGATATTTTGAATAATAGATGAGATATTTTTAAAAATATGATAGATTAGAAAAAACGTGACTAAAATTTTTTCCATGTTTGTCTCTTTAAAAGGTATTTCTTATTCCTTTTCTTACATATTTCTTTCTATGACCACTCAAGTTTCATGTAATAAACTGAATATATAGCCCTATAATTTGAATTAATAAGGGAAACTGGCCCCTAATTGGTAGGTGGCTGATCAGGACATTCTCTAAGAATCCCGACATCCCATGTGCATGAGTGGCCCACATACAAGGACGAAAATTGGGTCATTGGGTGGGGAGGGGGTCTTCAATCATATATTAAAGTAAAGCCAATGGAGATCATTGTTATCAATGAAATTGTCAAGAGATGATAGTGCATGTCGCCATCATGAGTCACTAGCAGTTCGATCTAGAGTTGCGTGTGGGGGTAAATTGGGCATGTATTAATATGTAAATTCACCCAATTTAGAAGCTTCAACACAACCTCAAATTTTTTATTTTTTAGTTTCATAGTCAATTTACACGTACTTTATTTTTTATTTTTATAAGGTATTTATAAGGGATAAATCCCTTATGACCTGACTTCAAATAATTATCAAGATTTATACTAAAAATATCTCAATTTATAATTCGTCTCTATTTTCACTTATACTAACTCTTGAAATTAATCCAACGTCAATTTCACCGGAGTTGAATTTAAACTTTTTTTGCTTTCACATTTAGCACCAGTCGCATGTTACATTCCAATGGATGGCACTAGATTAATTCCGTTGAGATTGGCCTTATACAAGATGATATTATTCCAAAAAAAAGAAATATAATTACCCAACATGCATAATGCTTTTGCTAATATTCGTATGTGTTTGTTTGTTAGTTAATAAACAAATTTGTTAAAGTGAGCGCAAAGATTACAAATCATTTTCTGTATTCAAACTTATTCCTGATAACTCAGACCTTGAATATACGCAAAATTAGGCGATTAACACGAATTCCTTTAAATGGATCTCTCATTGGAAGACTATTCTTAGGGAGCGAGCCCTTGTGTACAATGATTCTGCTTAAATATCAAAAACGACATGATGGATGTGAAGAGATAGGCCCCGGTCTCCAAGTGGTGATGGGCCAGCTATTATGTGTATATACATATTTTATTACACAATATAAAGTTTGCTTGCTTGTATTCAATGTGTCTGTATTCCTAGTTCACTATCTGCCTTGCGCTTCTCATTGAGAAGTGGAGGATGGGCTCACTAGATTCTCAAGTGGCCTTCAACTGGATTGACCCAAAAATAGATGAAACAAAATGGAGATGGGTTCATTGCTTGTTTTCCATTAGCCAGAACTTACTGGGCTGCAGTTTATTTGGTATAAGGCCCTATTCCACTTCATCTCTCCCTCTCTCTTCCACGCAGTCGAACACACTGGGCACTAATCGTCGACTTAGTTCTATGTGCGGCCTACCACAACTACTCCAGTCAATACTGATCTTAAAAAATCCAAGTGGCGTGCTTGAAAAATGCCTGGATATTTCCTGGCATTTTTCTATGCAGAAAATGCAGGCTGACTTGCAGGTCAACACTGGTGTCTATAACCATCTCTCCCCCTGTGTTGGTACCATCTCTCCCCCTGTGTTGGTGGATGCTTTCTTCTTCTTTTTTTTTGTTGTGTCATGGTCATGAATTCCAGTTGATGTAGTAGGCTTCATCTCCTCTCATACGATTCCTCAAATTAATTTGAGAACCTGAGCCATGCTTTTCACAGGTATGTTGTCACTGGCTCCCCCTCGCATACCCATTATACATATTTTCTGCGAGCTGAACTTTACATATTTTCTTCATCGCTAAATTTTTTTTGGCAGCGGCAACCGCGTTGATCTACGTGGAGAGGAGGAGTCTAGTAAAAGTATTTCCAGACGGTGTAAAGAAAGTGTGGACTGAATGGGAGCTACGGGTGCTAATTCTCCTCAGCCTTACCTTGCAGGTGGTTTTAATCCTATTGGGCAACCGCCGGAAGTACATTCCCAAGACTCGGATCAGAGTCATTCTGTGGTGTGCCTACTTACTCGCAGATTGGACTGCCACCGTCGCACTTGGAGTCATCTCTAAAGATGCCCAACAAGAATGCCCCAAAAATGGGGCTAATGACAATTCAGAGCTGATGGCGTTTTGGGCACCGTTTCTCTTGCTCCACCTTGGCGGTCCAGACACCATTACTGCTTATTCTCTGGAAGACAATGAGCTTTGGTTAAGGCACTTTGTGGGCCTAATGATCCAGACCGGCGTGGCCTTCTATATCTTCCTCATGGCCTTGCCTGGTTCAACTTGGCTTCCAATTTTAAGCATAGCCATCTTTGGGGCTGGTCTCATCAAATACTGTGAACGGACATGGGCACTCATGTCAGCAAACCCCGAGCATCTGAGGGACTCCATGCTCACACGCCCTGATCCGGGCCCCAATTACGCCAAATTCATGGAGGAGTTCACTCTAAAGAAGGCCGAGGGGTTCCATGTGGAGACTGATCAGGTTATTGAACTCCCAGTTCCGAACGATCGTCCTTACCCCCCTGGCCAAGGCAAGCTCATATGTGAAGCTTACGATCTGTTCCAGACATTTAAGCGTCTCTTCATGGATCTCATCCTCAGTTTCCAAGATCAAGATAGCAGCCGAGCCTATTTCGAAAATCTTTTGCCCAAAGATGCCTTCCATGTGGTTGAAGTTGAACTTGGCTTTGCTTATGATGTGCTATACACCAAGGCACCGATGGTGTATACTATTGGAGGCTGCATACTTCGATTGGTAAGTTTTTTTTCCACTTTCATTGCGTTGGTGGCCTTTGTTTTACTATCTGGGAAGCATGCGTACCACAAGGTAGACCTTGTCATCACCTATCTATTGCTGGTTGTGGCTGTTCTACTGGAAATATATGCTTTTTACGTTATGCTGGTCTCAGACTGGACAGATCATTGGTTGAGTAAACACGACAGAACTCGTGATTCTCTAATCAGCCCTTGTTTGAGACAGCGCAAAACAAAACAATGGTGGTCCAACTTAATGGCACAGTACAATTTATTAAGTGTTTGCTTTGAGGAGAAGCCGGCAGTTTGCTACAAAATACAAAGGATCCTTCAGATCGATGGATTTCGAGAGAAGCACCGTTACAAGACGTATAGCAAAGTCTCCCCGAAGTTGAAAGATCTAATCTTCAAACACTTTAAGCAGTTCATAGTCAAAAATAGTAATTATGATCATAGAGCTTTATGTACTCACAAAGGTAGTTTTGCTCTAAGAGAGAATGAGGATGTTTTTAGAAAAATTAGCTGGTCTATCAGTGAAGAATTCGACAAGAATGTTCTTATCTGGCACATTGCCACGGATCTCTGCTATCACTTGGATGTCCATGATAATCCGGGTGCTGTTCCTTCCAATTGCCGAGAAAGCAAAAACATATCGGACTATATGTTATATCTTCTAGTCATGTGCCCATATATGCTGCCCATAGGAATTGGACTGATCAGGTTCCGAGACACTTGTGCAGAAGCAAAGGAATTTTTCAAAGAAAGAAGTCCGACGAAAGTCGGAGTGGATGCCTGCAGGAAGTTGCTTGATGTTAATACTGAAGTTCCACCAGAGAAAGTGAAGGGGGACAGGAGCAAATCTGTGTTGTTTCATGCGTGCTTGCTGGCCAAGGAATTGCGGAAATTGGAAAAGGAAAAGAGATTGGACAAATGGGAACTCATAAACCGTGAATGGGTGGAGATGTTAGCTTATGCTGCTACGCACTGCAGAGGGAATCACCATGCCCAGCAGCTCCGAAAAGGAGGAGAGCTTCTCACTCACGTCTGGCTTCTGATGGCACATCTAGGCATCACTGAACAATTCCAAATATCTCAAGGGCATGCTAGGGCCAAGTTGATTGTGAAGTAGGAGGAGTGTTACAACTACATGTCATTTAATAAGTATTCCTAAAGAAAGATTTGAGTTTTCAGCTAATTTCAGAGTCATAACTAAACAACCTCTTTTAAAATTTCTATAAACTACTTTATGCCATGGAAGTGTTTAGTGTTTAATGAAGATATGGTCATACAGATTCATAGAAAAAATGCCAACATACCAACTTTCTCCATCATCATCAGTATATTTTTACTCTCACAAGTGTTTTGGAAGTTTTAGGTAAAACAATGAATTGAAAAGTAACCCAATTCGACTAACTGGCTCTGTCAAGCATTTTGACGAGCAGCTGAGCGGTCTTAGAGTTCATACTTAACAATACAAAAAACAGGTAGGGAACAAACAAACTTCACTAATTGTGAGCGGTCTTAGAGTTCATACTTCAATACTAAAAACTGGTAGGGAACAAAGCCTCTTCACTAATTGTGCTGCATCTGCTTATGGCCATAAATATATGTTCCATGCTTTGTTACTCTCCCAACATGCACAAATGAAGTTAAATTAAATGGATGTGCTATGGGTGCCATGTCCAACATCGAGTCTCCCACTTGGCCACCCCTCAAGTCCTTAGGAGAGCCGGGGTGGCCTACAACTACCATCCCTCACATGCATTATAGCAAAAACACCATCTTCGGACTATTAAAACATTTCAGAAGCATTTTAAAATTAAGCGGTAGTTTAAGTATCATTTAAAATAGAGTAAAAAAGGCGTATATAAACTGCCACTCCTTCATGTGGAGTAAACCCTTCATCTATATGTGACAAAATTTTAGTTGCATCATCATATTTGTTTTGATTGTTACACAATTTGATGAATGGCAATTCTAAGGAGAATAAACTTCTGGATCATTGCTTATACTGTGTGTTTAGGGTCCCAAATAAATCAAATTGAGCTGAGTACTAGACTCTTTGAACTTGGTTTTTTTTGTATGTGTGCTTGGATTAGTGTAAGATTGTTATGCTCTTCAAATATTTACTTTTTATATTTTCAAATTTGGGCTCAAGTCAACCTGGTTAGATGAAGCGAGCTCCAAAGTTCAGATTTGTGGTGATTGGTGGAGGCCTCAGCCAATCTAGCCATGCNTCTCAAGACCCCAAACAATCTATAATCCTTGCTTCCTCCAAAATCCCATTTTTTTCTTCTTCAAAACCTTCGATTTTTGGTATGTGGACGTAGCTCTCGTCGTGTAGATGAACTTTGGTTCTTGGCTTGAAGAATTCCGATCAACGTAGAGCCATACATCATAGAGAGAAGTTATAAAACCCTCTTTTTTCCCTTTCTTCCTCTCTAATTTCAAAAATCTGATGAGTATGTATGGAGAGAAAATTTAATTTTCTCCCCTATTTATAACCCTTAGATGCTTGGCCCTCGTTGCGCCACACGTCTTNAAAAAAAAAAAAAAACAACAAATGAAATTAACAACACTGTGTACATACATACATATACATGTCTAAATTGTGATAAGTGATACAAACATTTCAGCCCTTGCATACACCAGGAACATGGAAAAGTATTAATAATAGGACGAAATGAGATTTTTATTTCTGTTTTTGACCCGATACAAAATACTAGTAGTGCAGTGCAGTCCACTACTGCGGCAATTGAAAGGTAAGCAAAATAAAGGAGGAGGAGGAGAGTCTTCAAACACACAACACACACAACAAAATAAAGGTACTGGTGCAGACCACTACACACTCAAGCATAACAAGGTGGAGCACAGAACAGAAGAAATGTAGTGGTGAAATAATTCATCTATCTCTAAAATCTCCCCATGGCATCAATGCCTCGCTTCACTCTACTCAGAGCAACCAACTGGCCTGGCCTCAAGCAGCGTCGGCATTGCTGAATCTGAATGACCATTGCACTCTGTGTTTCTCTCTGATGTATCATCTTCCTCCCACTGTGCCAATATAATCAAATTTTATAGCTTAACTATTTGTATGCTAATTGCAATGAAGTTAACGAAACTGATAAGGTTCATTGAGACTGAAAAAAGGACCAAAACCAAAATATAAATTGCAAAAAACTTACCGGCAAATCACTGAATTTCCAGTGATTGACGGTCAGGTATGTATGGTTGGACTTCTTTTGGCGAACTTCATCTGTGAATTCTTTTGGCATTGTTGTTAAAATCAATTCCTCCAAGGTGTTGGATTGCAGCAATCTGTTTGGTATGTTCTTCAACTTGTCACAGCATCTAATATTCAGTTCTTTGAGGCTCCCCATTGCCTCATCCTCAACATTCCATTCCTCTAGCTCCTTCAGCATCCACAGTTTCAGGTCTCGAAGCTTAGTGAATGTTCCCCGAGGGCAAACCATTGTGGTACCGCAGTACGAATTCGCCAAAAGCCTGAGAACTGTTAGCTCTGACAGAGTACCTAGGGTTGGCATTGGATCAACATTCAGCTGAGAGATCGAGAGAGTTAGAACCTTGAGAGTGGGTGGGAATTCACGTGGATCAGGCAGCTTACAAATTGTCAAGTTTTCTTGGGTACAACTTGGAAAGTTGCCGAGCAATTTGAGGTTGGAAAGTTTCTCCAACTTGGACAATGGCTTCCAATCCAGTTTTGAAGGACGTCCTCTATCATCTTTGGATCGCAACCTCAGGAGTTGAAGAGCCGTTAAACCTGCAATCCAGTCAATTAAGTCTTCGTTTGAGCTGAGATTAAACGTTAGTTCTAATTCTCTGAGATCACGCAACTTGTTCAATCCATTCTTCACCGGGCTCTTGCGATCCACAAATAAACCCCACAATGTTAGGAGTTCTTTGAGTAAACCATGTGGTTGCTTAGGCATGTCAAGATGATTCCCATTGAGATTCAGATGCCGAAGGTGCTTCAATTTCCAAATGGAATTTGGGAGAGTGTTGATATATGTGTGCTTTATATCCAGTGTCTCGAGGTTGGGAAGATCACCAACTGTTTGAGGAAGGGTGTCCAAGAAGGTCCATCTCAAACCCAAGTACCTCAAATGAAACAGATTACCCAGTTTGTCGGGCAAATTGGGTCTGTACACCCCCTCAAGATCAAGCACCCTGAGTAATCCAAAGCCACTACCAACAATTATGCTTAAAAATCTGCCTACCTCCTTTGCGGGTGTATCCTTCTTTTGAAAGTTGAACGACAAGTAAGCCCGCAAACGTTGGTGAGAAAGTTTATGAGGGAAATCCGAGAACTTCTTAATGTCGACGTACTCGATGATCCTACGAACACCAAACGGACCTGCTGAATCTTCATGGTAATCCAAGCTGCCGTGGAAATAGAATAGGCTGATATCACGGGCTTTCTCCAGTAAGTAATCATGGACTGTACCTTGTAAACGACATCTTCTGTAGCTGCCATCGGATCTCAATTTTGATACTTGAACCAAGTTCCGATTGACTAGATCGTCGAAACATTCCTGCACAACATCCTCTGGGACCTTGTCTGGTTGCGCCATGAATCCCTCCGCAAGCCACAACCGAAGCAACCTCCTCACCGGGATGTCAAATTCTTTCGGGAAAAGCGCCAAATAAAGCAGACAGAGCTTGGAGAGGAAAGGCAGGTCGTTAATGCTCAATGACAATATGTCTGTGGTATCCCAATTCTTTTGGCTTGACAGCACTCGATTCCACTCCTTGTAGCTGCTTGATTTCTTAGTCGATAACAGACCTCCAAGTAGGACAATGTTGAGGGGTAGACCATTGCATATTTTTAAAATCCTTTGCTGGACGTGATCTGGACTTGAAGGACTGGTTTCTTCTAAGCCTGCACTTTTCATTAACAAGTCCCAGCTAGCGCTGTTGTCTAAGGGGTTCAAGTGATGCGGAAGGCCATCTGGATCAGCATACCTCGCCACATCTATGTCGCAAGTGGTGAGGATTATCTGGGTCCATTTTCTTGTGTATGGGAAGGCATCTTTTAGTTTTTCCCACACATCGCGTATGAATACATCGTCCAGGACAATTAGGCACCTCTTCGTCTTCAACCGCTCCAAGAGTCTTTTTTGCATTACTTCTTCAGTAGCAGCAGCTTGGTCCTTCGACTCGGATACCTGTTTTAACAAGCTTAGCAAGAGATCTGCTTTGGAATACTCTTTGGAAACAGAGATCCAAGCACGACAGTTAAAAAACCCTTCGATTGCTCTATTTTTGTAGATTGCACGGGCAAGGGTAGTCTTGCCTGATCCCCTTTTACCAACAATTGAGACGATGCGGTTGTCTCTCTCTGTCAACTGTTCCACCAAGCCATCCACAACTTCTCCAAACCCTAAATTGCCCAGTTGTTCTTCATCGTAAGAATTGGTGAAAAGTAGTTTTCGCTGCTGCAAATGAACTCTCTTGCGAGATTCTTTGCTTAGAATCCGAAATCGATTCACTCTTTCTAATCTTACCGTATGGACTTGTGGAATTGCAGAACCACTGTGTTTAAGGAGTGGCTTGGAACTGAGCTGCAATGTACCAGTTTTCTCCTCCTGCTCTTCTTTTTTTGCTTTTTGCTCTTCTTTTTCTTCTTGATCTTGATCACCTTGAGCACCACTGCTCTCACCAATATGAGTACCACCAGAAATGCTACTTTCCCGATTGTCCAATGACCGATCGCTCTGGAAGCTAGAGTGGGTGGTGAAAGACCTCTGACTGATATCATCAACCCTTCTTGACATTGTACTGTTGAGAATTTTGATTCTGGCTCTGGTTCTCTTCATCTTCTTGCGAAGCTTACGGCAAGCGTTCAAGTTCTTGAAAAAGAGAGCGTAATTCATCAGAAAACCAAGCTTCTTCCTCTGACGTGCAATGCTGAGGTCAAAAATTTCGATGGCATCCTCAACATTGTAAAGGTTGAGTAGATAACTCTTAACCCAATCCTTACGGTCGTCGTCTGTTTCTTGCTTCTCTTCGGCACCAATTAAGTAGTCTCCCGTCTGTCGAAGTTGTTCTTCCATCTCCTTTAGTTGATCTGCCATCACTATGTTAAAGGTTACTGATCCCTCACGCAGCATATCTGAGAGTTTCTGTATTACCAGAGACTTCACTGCGTGAACCGCCATTGATGATTCTCTCTCAGCAATATCTCTCTCTGTCTCTCAGCAATATATCAAGGGCAGAAAAGTGATGAAAATGCTGACTCAAATTTCTTAAGCCTCACAGTGATAATAAATGTATGCAGGGGGCCGCCCGCCGGAAGACTTGGAAATTTTACAGTCCACACAAAACACTCAAAACAGGTCCAATATAATACAGTATTCCACAGATAGCAACAAAGTGTATGGCAAAGTCTTCCATCCATTGGGTCCAAGCAAGGGAAGTTAACGATGGTGATATGCCGATTATTATCAAATAGATCTGGGGCCGTTAGATTGAACAATAGATTATGCATGCATCGAGGCAGCATCCGGGAAGACAGTATGCTAATTAGCTCGAACACGCGCAGGTAAACCTTGACTGATTTTTGTTTACATCATGGAGGCAGTGTCCAAGAAAAGACATGATACAAAAAAAAAATATCGTCGACGACGACCATGCATATCGACGAAGATAAAGACTTTGAATCAATCCCCTGCATGTGAGGTTCACACTAACAAAATTTAAGGTATTCTTTAATTCATACTTGGATTTAGTGAGATTATTAAATTAAAAATGAATTTCGTTCCTAGTACTTGTTTCGTTATCACTCGTTATAATACATACTCTACACACAACAACATTCTTACAAACACATCCAAAGTGAAGTATTTTTAGTATGTCCTAAATTCCATCAAAATTTTAGCTCGACACTACAATAAACCCTATATCCGGTTACCCTCCAAAAAATTGCAATCAATCAATCTATTTTAGTGGTTTTATTCGATGAATAATGATTGGTACTTCAAATTTATATTTCACATTAACGAAGACTATTGAATTAATAGATCCTATTTAAAAAAATTGATAAGATCTACTGATTTAATCATCCTCCTTAAATTAAGATACAAAATTTAGGATAAATAACTCTACTCTTACTCGATACCACATGGGGCAATGGTTGCTGCCTGTCTCTATGTTGCTGGTTAGGTGCATTGATGGGCGGTCCCTTCAAAAATATCCATGAATAACAAGACTCTTCTGGCCTTCATGCCAGCTCACCACTATTACTTCACGTCACGGTGCTCATCACACAAGTGACGCTCTGTGATGTTGATTTGCTTTACACTGTTTGGTTCTTACCAAGTGTACGCACACACACACACGTATTGACTAAGAAAAATGTTAGTCAAATTTGATTTGTTGGAGTAAAAATGAGTTCTATTTAATATTAAAACCCATCATCAAGTATCTGATCCCTATGCACTCACTACATATATTTATTTTCTGATCACTTAGAATGCATACAGTACAATGCGTTTGGTATGAAAAAAAAAAATTGAATGGATGAAAAATAAGTAGATAGAAAGGAATGTTTTCCACTATTTGGTATGAGATAAAAAAAAATAAGAAAAGGAAAATGGGTGAAAATTGAATCACTCCCATCCCATCCAGCATTTTTTATCTGCCCGAATTCCGGTGGGGAGTGGGCTTCAAAGGTGAAAATCAATATCATATCGAAAAGTGAAAATTAATATATGTCCCGACTTCTGGTGGGGAGTGGGCTTCAAAGGTGAAAATCAATATCATATTAAAAAGTGAAAATTAATATATGTTCGCCATCTGTTAACTCTAAAATTCATAAAAATTTATAATCGATTTCACCGGTTTCGTATATACTTTAAATATAAACCCTATACACTTTAAAAAATTTAAACATGAACCCCTATATACTTTAAAAATAAGTGATAATAGAAATTAAAATGATAATTATATATGAACATGAACCACTATACACTTTAAAAAACTTAAACATGAACATCCTATACACTTTAAAAAAGTGACAATGTTAAAACTAAAGTTGAAATTATAGTAACCTTATATTTAAAAATAAATAAATACAAATTTTTGGTTAACATTATCATTTTTTTGGTTAAAATTACCATTTTTTTTTGTTAAGAGTACCACTTTTTTTTGTTAACATAAGAATATCATTTTTTTGGTTAATATGACCACTATTTTCCTTAAGAGTATCACTTTTTTTTGTTAATATTACCACTATTCTGATTAAGAGTACCACTTTTTTTGTTAATATTACTATTTTTGTGGTTAACAATACCACTGATTTGGTTAATAGTACCACTATTTTGGATAATATTATCACTTTTTTTGTTACAATTACCATTGGTTAAGAGTACCATGTTTTTGGTTAATATTACCACTGTTTTGGTTCAGAGTACCATTTTTTTTGTTAACATTATCACTGTTTTTGTTAATATTACCACTTTTTTAGTTAACACTACCACTGATTTGGTTAAGAGTACCACTGTTTTGAATAATATTACCACTTTTTTGGTTAATATTACTACTATTTTGATTAAGAATACCACTATTTTGGATAACATTATCACTGTTTTGATTAAAAATACCATTTTTTTGATTAACATTATCACCGTTTTGGTTAATATTGTAACTTTTTTTGTTAACATTACCACTATTTTGGTTAAGAATACTACTGTTTTGGATAATATTACCATTTTTTTTGTAAAGATTACCACTGTTTTGATTAACATTACCACTGTTTTGATCAAATGCATGATCATGCACTCTTGCGATCAAGGGATCAAATAACAATCAAGATTGGGATCAAGTGCACTATTGAAATCAACGGTAGGTATGAAGGCAGCGATCAAGAGCTTGATACCGATTGGTGCAATAGCAATCAGGGTTCAACGGATCATCGTAGCAGCAATCAAAATTAATATATTTAATTAACATAAAAATTAATATTACATTAAAAACATTAAATTTATCAAATTAACATTAAAATTCAACTTAATTAATATTAAATTCATCTAATTTTTATATCCATAATCATTCAATTAACATTTAAATTATTCAATTAACATCCATTAAAAATTCACTTTATTAAACTAGCATTCAATTTCATTTGATTTATATTTAATGGGTGAAATACACATAGGCCCCCTAAAGTTGGTCACTTAATCACTCAGATCCCTGACATTTAAAATATTTCATACAAACCCCTTAAAGTTTATTCACATAACACTTAGACCCCAAATTAAAATTTAATTCATCAAATTAACACCAAATTTATAATCAATTTTATGTAATTAACATTTAATTCATTTAATTAATATTCAATTCATCAAATTAACATAAAATTAACACTCAATTTCATTTAATCAACATTCAATTTTTTATAATAAGCATTTAATTCACTAAATTAACATTTAAATTCAACAAGTAAACATTAAACAAATCAAATAAACATTCAATTTTATTCAATTAACACTCAATTCATCAAATTAACATTTAAATTATAAAATTAAAATTTAGATTTATCAAATTGACATTCAATTACAACAAATTAACATGTAATCAACACCAAATTAACATATAATTTTATCCAATTAAAATTTAATTTATTAAATTAACACCAAATTAACATTTCATTCATCAAATTATAAATCAATTTCGTTTAATTAATATTAAATTTTTTTTCTAATAAGCATTTAATTCACTAAATTAATATTCAAATTCAACTAGTTAACATTAAATTAATCAAATAAACTTTCAATTTCATTCAATTAACACTCAATTCATCAAATTAAAACTCCGATTTATGAAATTGACATTCAATTTCATCAAATTAATATGTAATTTTATCAAATCAACACCAAATAAACATCTAATTTCATCCAATTAAAATTTAATTTATCAATTAACATTAAATTCATTAAATTAATATTCAATTCATTAAATTAATACAAAATTCACAGTTAATTTCATCAAATTAACATTAAAATTCAACTTGTTAACATTAAATTAATCAAATAAACTTCCAATTTCATTCAATTAACATTCAATTCATCAAATTAATATTCAAATTATCAAATTAACATTGAGATTTATCAAATTGACATTCAATTTCATCAAATTAACATGTAAATTCCATCAAATCAATACCAAATGAATATATAATTCTATCCAATTAAAATTTAATTTATCAAATTAACATTAAATTTTTTCTAATAAGAATTTAATTCACTAAATTAACATTCAAATTAAAATAATTAACTTTAAATTAATCAAATAAACTTTCAGTTTTATTCAATTAACACTTAAGTCATCAAATTAACATTAAAATTATCAAATTAATATTAAGATTTATCAAATTGACATTCAATTTTATCAAATTAACATGTAATTTCATCAAATCAAAAAATAATTTTATCCGATTAAAATTTAATTTATCAAATTAACATTCAATTCATCAAATTAACATTAAATTAATAATCAATTTCATGTAATTAACATTCAATTTTTTCTGGTAAGCATTTAATTCACTAAATTAACTTTCAAATTCAACTAGTTAACATTAAATTAATAAAATAAACTTTCAATTTTATTCAATTAAAACTTAATTCATCAAATTAATATTCAAATTATCAAAATAACATGTAATTTCATCAAATCAACACCAAATTAACATATATTTTTAAACAATTAAAATTTAATTTGTCAAATTTACAACAAATTCACATTCAATTCATCAAATTAATACAAAATTAACAATCAATTTCTACATAATTAAAATTGAATTTCATCTAAAAGCATTTAATTTACTAAATTAACATTCAAATTCAACTAGTTAACGAAAAATTAATCAAATAAACTTTCAATTACATTCAATTAACACTTAATCCATCAAATTAAGATTCCAATTATCAAATTAATATTAAGATTTATGAAATTGACATTCAATTTCATTAGATTAACATGCAATTTCATCAAATCAACATATAACTTTATCAAATTAAAATTTAATTAATCAAATTAACACGAAATTCATCAAATCAACAATCCATTCCATGTAATTAACATTCAATTTTTTAGGATAAGCATTTAATTCACTAAATTAGCATTCAAATTCAACTAGTTAACATTAAATTAATCAAATAAACTTTCAATTTTCTTCAATTAACCCTCAATTCATCAAATTAACATTCAAATT